CTCTCCTCCTCCTCCTCCTCATCCTCCTCCTCGTCCTCCTCGTCCAACATAGTGACCAGTTCCTCCCGAAGTGCCCCCATCTCCAGCCCCAGGCGGCACAGCTGTCCCAGCAGCTGGACATCCATTTGGCGTAGGTTCCCCTACCGGTAGGAAGGGGGTGTCACAGGGATGCCTCCCCAGAGAGCAAGGGCGCTCTCCAGGACCTGGGTGAGAGCAGGGCCCAGCTCACATCCTGGCCACGGCGCCTGGACAGGGTCCTCACAGTGCCCCTGGACCCTAACTATCTTCCTGCTTCTCAGAGGGTGTCTTTATCTCTAACTCCGTCTCCGTCTCTGTCTTTGTCTCTGCATTTCATTCTCCCTGACTTCTCTCTCTCTCTCTCTCAGTAATGTCTCCACCCTCTCTATCTGTCCCTGTCTCCCTTTTTCTCTGTCCCCATTTATTTTTTCTTTCCATGCCCCTGCCTTTGGCGTGCTCTCTCTCTCTCCCTCCGTCTCTCTCTCTTTCTCTCTCTCTCTCTCTTGCTCTCTCTCCTCCCCCCACCAACTGTCTCTCAGATTCAGTCTGAGTCTCTCCGTCTCTGTTCCTACTCTCGGTCCGCTTTCCACCTCCATCCCTCTCTTTTGGGATCTCTCAGTCCCCACCTCCATTCCTGTCCCTCTCTCTATTCCTGTCTCTGTGTCTGTATATGCCTCTCATGTCTCTGCTTCTGTCTCTCAGATTCTTTCAATCTCTAGCCCTATTTTCATTCATTTCCATTCATTCTCATTCCCTCTCTCTTTCTCTTTCCCTTCCAAACCCCTCACTCACCAGCTCCTCCCAGACCCACAGCAGACTATCCCAGGCACCTCCAGCGTCTGCCTCTGCAGTCGTGATGGTCTGGCCAGGGATTTCCACTGGGGAGACCTCCCTCAGGGCCCGGGGGGGTGGACCCAGCTCTGGAGCCACCAGTCCAGCCTGACTCAGCTGCCTCCACAGCTCCATCGTCTCTGAGTTCTGGGTGCCAGGAGCAGGAAGTAGCAAGGTCCAGGGTGGCCCAGTCCCCCGGGGAGCTGTGTGCATAGTGGAGAGTAAAGGGCAGAGGGAGTGGGATGGGGGTTCCTGGCAAAGGCATCCCAAAGTCCACTCTTCAGAGAGAATCAGCTGGCCTTGTGCTTTTTTTTTCCTCTCCTTCTGAAGTCTAACCTCAACTCTGCTCACAGGGTTCAAACACAACCTCTTGCAGAGGTCAAACTCCGCCCCTCCCTGCCTATCTCAGGCCTGACCCTTCAGGGGCGCTGTGTCTGCAGATGCCTGGCACCCTCTGTCCTTCCACCTGGGCACTCGCCCCCCTTCCAGCCTCTCCTCAGCCTCCATTTGGCCTCTGGCTCACCCCTGGTCCTTGCTTGCGCTCTCGGCACGGGTCGTTCCCAGGCTTTTGCACCAGTGTGCCTCTGGGGGCAGAAATGGCTCCCAGGTGCCCAGGGGCACCAACAGAGCAATCTGTTAGCTGCAGTGCCTGTGTCCAGGCTGCTAGCCTAGGGCTGAGCAGCCGATTCTGCTGACCCTGGACTTGCCTGTGGGTCTATTATCCCTGTTGGGGGTGGGGGCTTCTGTGGAAAAGCCTGGGAAGCATTGTGGGCCTCTCTCTCCCTTGAACCCTTCCTTCCGACCCGACTTGGTTGTATATACACACAAAATGGCAGATCACAAGGTCTGGAGACTGGCCAACACGGTGAAACCCGCAGGGGACTTGCTTGTATATATACACACACAAAATGGCAGATCACAAGGTCAGGAGACTGGCCAACACGGTGAAACCCGTCTCTACTAAAATACAAAAAATTAACCAAGCATGGTGGCACGTGCCTGTAGTCCCAGCTGCTCGGGAGGCTGAGGCAGGGGACTTGCCTGAACCTGGCAGGTGGAGGTTAGAGTGTGCCAAGCTCTCGCCACTGCACTCCAGCCTGGCGACAGAACAAGATTCCATCTCAAAAAAATAAAAGAAAAAATAAATTATATATATGTATATATCTTGCTCTGTCGCCCAGGCTGGAGTGCAGTGGCGCAATCTTGGCTGTACAAAAAAATACTAAATTTTTTTGTATTTTGAGTAGAGATGGTGTTTCATTATGTTGGTCATGCTGATCTCGAACTCCTGACCTCAGGTGATCTGCCCGCCTCAGCCTCCGAAAGTGCTGGGATTACAGGCATGAGCCACCATACCCAGCTTGAATTATTTCCTGAGTGGAGCCAAGAACCCTCCAAATTGGCTAAGCCCCAATATGGGGACTCACCTACCCTGTGTCAGAGCTGCAGAGTTTGGGTGTGGAACTCAAGCAGGAGATCAGGACTGGGGCCAGACACTCGAAAGCCAGTGATATATACATGAAATTAGCTGGGCCTGGTGGCTCACACCTGTAATTCCAGCCCTTTGGAAGGCTGAGGCAGGTGGATCACCTGAGGTCAGTAGTTCAAGACCAGCCTGGCTAACATAGTGAAACCCCATCTCCACTAAAAATACAAAAATTAGCCAGGTGTGATGGTGCTCACTTGTAATCCCAGCTACTTGGGAGGTTGAGGCAGGGGAATCACTTGAACCTGGGAGGCAGAGGTTGCAGTGAGCCAAGATCGTGCTATTGCACTCCAGCCTGGACAACAAGAGCGAAACTTTGTCTTTAAAAAAAAATACAGAATTTGAGCATTTCTCACCATTTCCTCTGCCCATCCCCGTTCATCTCTTGCCTAGACCATTGCAGTAGCCTCCTGTACTGGTCCCCTGCATCCCCCCTTGCCCTCTAAGGTAAGCGTCCCCAATCCCTGGGCCGAGGACCAGTACCAGCCTGTGACCTGTTAGGAACTGGGCCACACAACAAGAGGTGGGCGGTAGGCAAGTGAGCATTACCGCCTGAGCTCCACCTCCGGTTAGATCAGAGGTGGCGTTAGATTCTCACAGGAGGCAAACCCTATTGTGAACGGTGTGTAGGGAGGATCCAGGTGGCCTGCTCCTTATGAGACTCTAATACCTGATGATCTCAGGTGGAACAGTTTCATCCTGAAACCATCCCTACCTGACCCCCACCCCGCGGTCTATGGAATAATTGTATTTCACAAAACGGGTCCCTGGTGACAAAAATGTTGGGGACCACTGCTCTCAGGTACATTCTCCACCTGGCAGAAATAATTTTTTTTTTTTGAGATGAAGTTTTGCTCTTGTTGCCCAGGCTGGAGTACAATGGCGAGATCTCAGCTCACTACAACTTCTGCCTCCCAGGTTCAAGCAATTCTCCTGCCTCAGCCACCCAAGTAGCTGGGATTATAGGCATGCACCACCACACCTGGCTAATTTTGTATTTTAGTAGAGATGGAGTTCATGTTGGTCAGGCTGATCTCGAACTCCCAACCTCAGTTGATCCACCCTCCTTGGCCTCCCAAAAAGTGCTGGGATTACAAGTGTGAGCCACTGGGCCGGGCAGAAACAATCTTTGCAAAATGTAAATCCGATTTTAACATTCCCTTCTTCCTACTGTGAATAGAATAAAAACCCTAACAGGTCTGCAGCATCAGCTCCTGTCCACCTCTCAACCCAGTCCCCTATCTCTGTCTGCAAGCTGGTTCCCACCTCAAGGCCTCTCTGCTCTAGAGGCTACCTCTCCCTGCAACACTTTTCCCCTGGATCTCTGAATGGCTCTTTCCTTATCATTCTCTTCCCCTTCAATGTCACCTCTTCAGAGAGGCCTTTGCTGATGGCCCTAAGCCCCAGTCACTTTTTAAAATCTGCTTCTTATCAAAATTACCTTGCTGATTCCTTTGTTTCTTATCCATTCTCTCCCAGCCGGGAATGCTCACTCCCTGATAGAGGGGCTGGTCTGTCCTGCTCACCATGGTAACCTCAGTGCCTAGAACATGCCTGCCATCACCTTGTATGTACTCAGTAAATACTCTCAGAATGAATGAATGAATATTTCTATCCACAAGACTTCACTGTGGCTCTTCATACTACGATCTCGCTTTGAACTCTAAACTGAAGTCAAACTTCAGTACTGGTCTTGAGATCTCACCTCAGTCTCTAATCTTGAAGTCTAGCCCCTTCATCCACTCTACCTTTCTCTTACCTGACCCTAATTTTAAAAAATGACGTTGTCAGCTTTTCAGCCCTCTCATTCCGTTTTTTTTTTTGTTGTTGTTGTTTTGTTTGTTTGCTTGTTTGAGATGGAGTTTCCCGCTTGTTGCCCAGGCTGGTATGCAATGGTGTGATCTCGGCTCCCCAAAACCTCCTCCTCCCAGGTTCAAGCGATTTTCCTGCCTCAGCCTCCCAAGTAGCTGGGATTACAGGCATGGGCCACCATGCCCAGCTAATTTTGTATTTTTAGTAGAGACGGGGTTTCTCTATGTTGGCCAGGCTGGTCTCGAATTACGGATCTCAGGTGATCCACCCGCCTCGGCCTCCCAAAGTGCTGGGATTACAGGGGTGAGCCACCACGCCCGGTCTTCATTCCCTGTTTTAAGCAGGTAGTGAGTGAAGCTGGAAGAACAAGAAAGCTCGGGGAGACTGCAATTGCAGTCAGAAAAAAAAAAGGTACTCAGTCAGAAAGGACACCCCATCTTCTCCTAGGGAAAGACTGCGGAGTCCTGTCTTTTTTTTTTTTTTTAAGACAGCGTCTCGCTCTGTCGCCCAGGCTGGACTGCAGTGGAGTGGTGCGATCACAGCTCACTGCAAACCTTGACCTCCCCAGCTCAAGCATTCCTCCCGCCTCAACCTCGTGAGTAGCTGGGACCACAGGCGTGCACCACCATGCCCGGATAACATTTCACTTTGTGGAGATAAGGTTTCCCTATTTTTTGTGGAGATAAGGTCTCCCCTATCTCAGAGTTCAAGACCAGGCTGGTTTTGAACTCCTGACTTCAAGCGATGCTCTCGCCTCGGCCTCCACAAAGTGCTTGGGCTCACAGGTGAATGAGCCACCGCGCCCGACCCACCGGTGTCCCGTTTTAAAGCTCAGGAAGAGGGCGCTGTGAGGAATCCCTAAACCCTATGAGGAAAAAGTGCTTGCACCTTTAAGAAGAGGGTTAGAAAACGCAAAGCTTGAGGAGGAGAAGTTCGCGCTGAACCGGGCAAGTGGTACGACCTGCCCCTTCCGGTTACGTAACCTTCGCAAGATGGCGGCGCCGTGGCGGGTAAGTGAACCGAGTTCCTAGAGCCCCAAATATGAAGTCCGCTCTGCAGCCTCCGCCTTCAAGGCCCGTGATGGCTGCCAGGAGAGCAAAGAGCCGTGAGGCAGCAGGCTAAGCCTGCCGAGCCCCGTGCTGAGAGTGCAGACCTGTGATTTTGGGGGCCGGGAAGGATCTCGGGGGGTCGCAGGTTGAGGAGACGCTTTAGCGAGCCAGAGGAGGCAGGGACTTGGCTGAGAGAATCCATTGGGGATGAGGGAGTGGAAAGTTCGTGGGGGATTGAGGAATTTTTACAGAAAATTCAAAAGTATGATGAGTGGGGGAACCAAAAGGTTAATTTGGGGCTTCCAAGGGAATCACCTGGGTGAAATTAAGAGGAGGATTTGGGATAGTCTTCAGAGGATTTAGAATTGGGTAAAATCAAGGAATGAATTTAGGGAAAAATAAAGAGGTTGGCAGCTTTAAATTTTTGACGAAAATAAGGGTTTGGGTAAAATTATCTAGAGAATTTGGAAAAAAAAAAAAAAAAGAGAGAGCCTTTGGAGAGAAATTGGGGTAGATTAAGAGGAGACCTTGAAAGCGAAATTGAAGAGTTTGGGGGCTTCTTCCCAGAGGCCGCACTCCTCCACTTTCTTACCCTCCTCTTCAAAGCTCATGCATTTTTTATCCTTCACGGTTCAGTGGTGTCCAGTCTTTTGGCTTCCCTGGGCCATGTTGTTCGAAGAAGAATTGTCTTGGGACACACATAAAATACATTAACCATAACTGATGAGCTAAAAAACAAAAATCACAAAAAAATTCTCATAATGTTTTAAGAAAGTTTGCACGTTTGTGTTGGGCTGCATGAGGGCGGCAGACTGGACAAGCTTGGTCGGGTTTAGGATTGCTCATAGTGCCCTCTCCATAAGGTGTGGAGAGAAGGTTTTAAGATTATATTTTGGAGAATGAAGTATGTCATTTGGGAAGACGCCGGGATGATTTCCCACAATTTGTTCCTTAATTAGGTAATTAAGGTGCATAAGGTGCACCTGGGAACAAGGTGCATCAGAAAAATCGGTAAGAATCCCTGGCCTGCAAGACCCTGCAGAGACCCTGGCCCACCAGAACCCAGGTCCTGTCCTTGTCTGTAGGGCTGAGGGCCCCACAGGGTCGTGGGGTGAGCCTTATGCTGTGCTGAGGCGCAGGATCCGAGAAATAGAGGACACAGAAGTACAAAGAAAACGCAGCTGGGCTCAGGGGGCCACGCCACCTGTAAGTGGAGTCAGGCGAGGCCCTGAATGTCCAGAAGCATAAGTATTGTGTATAGGTTAGGGGGCAGGGCAGTGAGTGAAATCATCTTTAAGGATAGTGATAGGGTCGTAAGCAGTAAAACATGGGGTCCGCCCCCATTAGGTCACCTAGGCCAGGAGGTGGACAGTGTGCAGCAAGGGGCCCGTTCCCATGAAGGCAAGGGCCGTGTGCAGTAAGGGGTCCACCCCCATTAGGTCACCGAGGCTTGAAGGTGGGCCGTGCTCAGTGTGCAATACTCCTATCTATGGTCAAACTACTTCTAAGAACATTTATAGGAGGATGCTTTAAGTCACATAGCAGTGACAGAGCTGTCAGGGTTACCGCCACCTTCTGGCAGCTTCCAATGGGTTCTATGGGAAGATGCTTTTCAAGCAGCACAGTAGCAAGAGCTGATAAAGTTCACAGTGACCAAGGTGGATTGCCGTTCTGAGGGCAGCCTTCCCCAAGAACTGGAGCAAGGTCCTACAACTCCTTTATCAGGAGGAGTGGCTCTCGCCCCAAGCCTGCCATACAGCGGGTATCTTTACGATACTGAATGCTGCTGCCTGGGCCATGGATTCTTGTCCTGGTATAACTGTTTTTCCCTTAAATCATGCTTTGCACTGTGTCTGCTCTAGGCATTCCTCTGATTGTAAGCTGCTTATTCCTTAATTCATGCTCTGCACTGTGTCTACTCTAGGCATTCCTCTGATTATGAACTAAGATATAGGTATATGTGTAAGGAAATATTCTTTAGGCACTCATACTATCAACTATTATATGATTATACATTGAGGATTATATAAAGGGATTCTTCAAGCCCTATTTCTATAAACTAATATATGATTATATAAAGGATTATATAAAAGGAAATAGCTGAGTAGTAACACTATAAAGTGAGATATTCCTCAAGCCCTAACTGTGCCAGGGTTCTGCTTAGCTCTCATTCCTCGGTGCCTATATGGGGGGTTACCCACACTTGTCATTGCCAAGCAGCACTGTGGTGTCCAGTGCCAGCCTTGATGTCTCTTCAGCTCCGTCTCCAGCCTGTACCATTCTCAAGGACTCTTAATTGGGTAATTAAGGGGCAAATTGTGGGAAATTAAGAGGTCAAATAATGCAGGTTTTGAGAGATAAGAGTTTGGGAGAAAGTTAGAGGAATAATTTAGATAAATGAACAATATACAGCTAATCAAGGCAAGAATTTAGGGTTGACTAAGGGGAGGAGGAACTTGGAGAAAACATGGAGAAAGTTTTGGCATTTCAAAGTCAGCTTTGAAGTTCTGAAGAAAGAATTTAGGGTGAGTTGGGAAGCAGAGGGATTGAAATTCAGGGAGCAAGAACTTGGGGATCCGGCTCTGTCTCTCCCAGGAAGCTCCAGGCTCAGCTCCTTTCCTCTCCTTTTTCCCAGTCCCTGCGCCTAGTGGCCCCCATAGGGAATAGAAGTACCAGGGGCATCCATCAGCTGGGTGGGGCAGTGGATCCAGAGAGCAGTCAGAAGAAGAGAAGGACAATGCTCCAGTACCTGTCCGACCATTTCTACGATGTGGAGTTTCTGAGGGGTTATTTTCTCCAAAATAAGATGGACAAGGTGCATCAGAAAAATCGGTAAGAATCCCTGGCCTGCAAGACCCTGCAGAGACCCTGGCCCACCAGAACCCAGGTCCTGTCCTTGTCATTCCCAGGCAGCACTGTGGCATCCAGTGTCTCTTCCAGCTCCGTCTCCAGCCTGTACCATTCTCAAGTACTCCGGCTCACATAGGCAGCTTGCCACCCACCAGCTCAACTCAGAGTATAACTGGCTTCTTAAACCCAGCATGGCTAAAACCAAACCCTGATTTCTCCCCTAAAACCATCTGCTCACTCCCAAGCCTTCCCATCCCAGTAAACATTAGTGCTGCCCACCCAGTTATTCATGCCAAATTCTTTTTTTTTTTTGAGACGGAGTTTCGCTCTTGTTACCCAGGCTGGAGTGCAGTGGCGCGATCTCGGCTCACGGCAACCTCCGCCTCCTGGGTTCAGGCAATTCTCCTGCCTCAGCCTCCTGAGTAGCTGGGATTACAGGCACGAGCCACCACACCCAGCTAATTTTTTGTATTTTTAGTAGAGACGGGGTTTCACTATGTTGACCAGGATGGTCTCGATCTCTTGAGCTCATGATCCACCCGCCTCGGCCTCCCAAAGTGCTGGGATTACAGGCTTGAGCCACCGCGCCCGGCCGATTCATGCCAAATTCTAAGGAGTCATCCCTAATTCCTCCCTTTGCTTCCCTGCCCTCCACATCCATACCATCAATAAAATACTAGAATATCTCAAATTTGGCGAGTTTTCACTGCCTTCACTGTTCATAGCCTGATCCAATCACTCAGTAATCCCCTAACTGATTTTTTTGCTGCCATACTTTTTTTTTTTCTTTCGAGACAGTCTTGCTCTGTGGCCCAGGCTGGAGTGCCATGGTGCAATCTCAATTCACTGCAACCTCCAATTCCCAGGTTCAAATGATTCTCCTGCCTCAGCCTCCTGAGTAGCTGGGATTATAGGCACCTGCCACCACACCCAGCCAATTTTTGTATTTTAGTAGAGACAGGGTTTCACCATGTTGGCCAGGCTTGTCTCGAACTCCTTACCTCAAGGGGTCCACCCATCTCAGCCTTTCAGAGTGCTGGGACTACAGGCATGAGCCACCATGCCCAGCCTCCCATACTTTCTTTTTTTTTTTTTGAGACAGACTCTCAGTCTGTCCCCGAGGCAGGAGTGCAGTGTGACACAATCTTAGCTCACTCCAACCTCTGCCTACCATGTTCAAGCGATACTCATGCCTCAGCCTCCAGAGTAACTGGGATTACAGGACTGGCTAATTTTTGTATTTTTAGTAGAGATGGGTTTCACCATGGTGGCCAAGCTGGCCTCAAATTCTTTACTTAAGGTGATCCGTCAGCCTTAGCCTCCCTCCCAACTAGCTGGGATTACAGGCATGTGCCACCGCGCCCAGCTAATTTTGTATTTTTACTAGAGATGGGGTTTCACTATGTTGTCCAGGCTGGTCTCGAACTCCTGACCTAAGGTGATCCACTTGCCTAGGCCTCCCAAAGTGCTGGGATTACAGGGGTGAGCCACTGCGCCTGGCTGACATCCCTATTTCTTATTCATTCAACCACCCTAATTTGAGTCTCTGAGCCTTTATATTCTGTTCCTTGTCACCACTCAAATCTCTGCTCAGATGTCACCGCCTTCCATTAATACCCAAACTCAATAGCCTCCACCGTCCCCACCCCTCCCAGTCAGCCCCTCTGCCTTATTTGGCCATGGAATTGACATGCTCTGCAATCTGTTGTTATTCCCTGGGTTGCTGTCTGTTTCTCCCTATATAATAGGTTGGATTACTGCAGTAATCTCCAGACTGGGCAGGGATGTTATCTGCCTTGGTCACCACTTTGCCCCCCCACCCCCCCACCCCATGCCCAGCACTTAGTTGGTGGGCAATAAATATGTACAGGCTGACTCTGTGTGCCTGGTTCTGTGGACTCTGCCCCTCTTAACAGCATTGGGACATCGTGAAGGTGTGGTACACCCGATGCCTCACCCTTAGCTGCCGTTTTCTCTGCAGATCCTTCGCCCACCTGGAGGAGACACATGGTCCAAACAACGCAGGTGCCTTTTTCATCCTGAAGCAGGGAGGCGCAGTCAAGTATGACCGCTAAGGTGTTATAATGGGCTGGTCGGTGGTGGGGTATCTGCCTAGCATCCAGGCTTTGCAGTCACACAGGCTTCGCTGTGTCCCCTGGTCTCTGCTGCCTCCTATGTGGCTTCGGACTTGTTCCTAAGCTTCAGTTTTGTCATGTGGAAAATGGGATGGTGATCTTTTCTAACCTACAAGGTTTGCTGTGAAGACTGGATGGCGCTGGGAACTGGCTTATGTCTGTAATCCTAGCACTTTGGGAGGCCGAGACAGGAAGATCACTTGAGCCCAGGAGTTTGAGACCAGCCTCAGCAACTTTGTGAGACCCTGTCTCAAAATAAATATATATATATATTTTTAGATGGAGTTTCACTCTTGTTGCCCAGCCTGGTGTGCAATGGTGCAATCTCGGCTCACTGCAACATTCTGCCTCCCGGGTTCAAGTGATTTTACTGCTTCAGCCTCCTGAGTAGCTGGGATTACAGGGATGTACCACCACGCCCGGCTAATTTTGTATTTTTAGTAGAGACAGGGTTTCTCCATGTTGGTCAGGCTGGTCTCAAACCCTTGACCTCAGGTGATCCGCCCACCTCAACCTCCCAAAATGTTGGGATTACAGGCATGAGCCACTGCGCCCAGCCTGGCAAATTTTTTTATATTAGCCAGGTATGTATACTAGCATGATGGCTTATGTTAGAGTGAAGAAAAAAAAAATTAGCCAGAGATGGTGGCACATGCCTGTGGTCCCAGCTACTCAGGAGGCTAAGGCGGGAGGACTGCTTGATCCCAGGAGGCTACACTCAGCTATGGTCGCACCACTGAACTCAAGCCTGGGCAATAGAGTGAGACCTCGTCTCAAAAAATACCAATGGGCTGGGCATGGTGGCTCACACCTGGAATCCGAGCACTTTGGGAGGCCAAGGCCTCCCAGGTGGATCACCTGAGGTCAGGAGTTTGAGACCACCTGGCCAATGTGGTGAAACCCCGTCTCTACTAAAAATACAAAATTAGCTTAGCATGGTGGCACACGCCTGTAATCCCAGCTACTCGGGAGGCTGAGACAGGAGAACCCTTTAGAACCTGGGAGGCGGAGGTTGCGGTGAGCTGAGATCGTGCCACTGCACTCCAGCTTGGTCGACAGAGCAAGACTCTGTCTCTAAAGAAAAAAATAATAATGACTGGATGTGGTGGCTTTGGGAGGCCAAGGCAGGTGGAGCACTTCAGCCCAGTAGTTCAAGACCAGCCTGGCAACATAGTGAAACCCCATCTCTACCAAAAATACGAAATTACCTAGGCATGGTGGTGCATGCCTGTAGTCCCAACTACCCAGTGAGACCCTGTCAGAGAGGGAGATTGAGTGTGATTTTGCAATATAAGAGGCCTAGCACTGCATATGTGCTCAAAAAAAATTTTTTTTTGAGACAGAGTATCACTCTGTCACACAGGCTGGAGTGCAGTGGCACGATCTCAGCTCACTGCAACCTCTACCTCCTGGGTTCAAGCGATTCTCCTGCCTCAGCCTCCTAAATACCTGGGATTACAGGTGCACACCACCACACCCGGCTAATTTTTTCTATTTTTGGTAGAGACAGGGTTTCACCATGTTGGCCAGCTGGTCTCCAACTCCTGACCTCAAATGATCCACTCACCTTGGCCTCCCAAAGCGCTGGGATTATAGGCATGAGCCACCACAGCCAGATGGAGTGTTTTTCCAAGATGGAATCACTTACATGTCAAGGGTGATCTATACATACTATATAGGGCTGGGAAGGTTCTGAAGAGGCTGGAGGCCTGGGGCAGGCAGGGGTGCCCTGCTCCCACTACCTCTCCCCCACTTTCCAGGTTTCGAGACAAGGAGTGGATCAGGCCAGATAAGTATGGCCATTTCTCTCAGGAATTCTGGAATTTCTCAGAGGTGCCTGTCGAAGCTGTGGATGCCAGTGACTGTGCCATCAACTATGAGGGCCTGGAAAACCTCCGTGAGTGAGATGGGGTGGAGATGGGACAGGCCTCTACATTTTCCCTTTGGTGATGGGCTCCAGAAAGGCCCCTGGTGCCATCCCACCCTCTCCCCACCGCAGACCTCCTGAAGGAGCTCCAGTCCTTGTCGCTGCAGCGCTGCCCCCACATGGACGACTGGTGTCTCAGCCGCCTCTACCCACTGGCCGACTCGTTGCAGGAGCTCTCGCTGGCCGGTTGCCCCCGCATCTCCGAACGGGGCCTCGCCTGCCTCCACCACCTCCAGTGAGATCTCAGCTCAGCCTGGGCCCCGTACCGGGCATCTCTCCCACCCAACACAGATGCAGGAGAGGAAGTGGAGAGGGGCAATGTTGGGCAGTTCTCATCTCCCCCTGCCTCCACCACAAACCTAGAGTGTATGTGGTAGATGGGCAGTCACAGTGAGTCTCTGGAAGAAATAAATGACTCCTGGTTTTTCTTCTTTTTGTTTTAATGAAAACTCCATGATATCAGTGCTATGGCAGAACAGCAGAAGCTAGAGGTGCATATTTGCAACTAACACAGTGGGTTTCAGGTGCCTGGACAGCTATAAAGATTTTATTTTAGGGCCGGGCACAGTGGCTCACGCCTGTAATCCCAGCACTTTGGAAGGCCAAGGCAGGGGGATCACAAGGTCAGGAGTTCAAGACCAGTCTAGCCAAGATGGTGAAACCCTGCCTCTTCTAAAACTACAAAAATTAGCTGGGCATTATGGGCACAGGTACCTATAATCTCGAGAGGCTGAGGCAGGGAACTGCTTGAACCTGGGAAGTGTAGGTCACAGTGAACAGAAATCACACCACCACATTCCATCCCGGGTGAGAATGAGACTCTGTCTCAAAAAAAAAAGTATTTTAGGAAGCTAGGGTTGAAATTGGGAATTGGGGCCAGTACCTTCCTCTACACATACATTGTCCTTACAGTGGCTTCCTGTCCTTCTCGCCCCCTTTCAGGAACCTCCGCAGGCTGGACATCTCCAACCTCCCTTCCGTGTCCAACCCAGGCCTCACTCAGATCTTGGTGGAGGAGATGCTGCCCAACTGCAAGGTTGTGGGGGTCAACTTGGCCGAGGGCCTGAAGTTGGGGCCAGAGGAGCAGCCTCAGGACACAGACAGGCCCATCCCTGCCTAGCCTTCAGCCCTGTCCCCATTCAAGTGGCTTTTCAGCGGACTGCGTGGAATGTCTGGTAGCTCACCACACTTCTGGCTTCTCTTTGTCTTCACTCAACATGGGGGTTGGGGAGTGGCGCTGGCCAATCACAGGGAGACAGAGTGTGAGGTGACAGTATTTATTCCTGGCTGCCCTTGGCTGACAGTCATAGCTCCTGTGCTCCTGTCACCCTGTCAGGCAGTCCTTTCCATGCCCCTCTTCTTCCCCTGCCTCTTAAGGCCTGGGGACATCAAGGCTCAGGTTGTTGGCAGCTGCAGTGAGCCGCGTTCACCTTGTCAGGAGACTCTTGTCAAATTGTCCTCATGTGAGTGCGCTGCCATTTCTTCCAGGGACCCTGACTGATTCAGGGGCTGCTGCTAACACTTCACAGGGATGGTTCTCCCTGGTCAGGGGGAAGGGGGGGCTCTGCTCACAGCAGGACGTGCAGCATCCTTGGTCCCACTCACTAAAGACCAGCACAGCCCAGGCCCCATGGTATTGCTGGTTGTGGATTTACTGACCTTCAGTTCCACATTCAGCTTTTTTGGTCCGCTGTTTTTTGAAAGGGGATCTGGGCCTTTGCAGGATTTTCCCTTTGCCAGTGGCATAAGCTTTGTCAGTAGAGGGTGCCTAACAGGCATTACAGGAGGAAAGGCGCTTCCTTCCTGGTTCCTCCTGCCTCTGGGTTCCGCAGTGCATGGCTTCCCCAGCACCCAGCTCCTGAGGTGTCAGGCGGTCAGCAGCTGCCCCCAGCACCCTCCATCTCCCAGTAGTTGCGTAGGAGACACAGTGCCTCCACTGAGGCCCCACTCTGGGAATAACTTTCCCCAGCACCCCAGATGGATTTCCAGTCAATTCAGAAGCAGTTTACTAGTGAAGCCCTCATTATTCCAGTTCACTGTTAAAGCCAGTAACTCTCTATATTAAACGGTCCCTGTTTGAGTTACTGTGTGGTTTTTCTCTCCTGAGTGCATCCAGATGGATAGAGAGTTGATACCTGGAGTGTCCCAGGAGACAGACTTTTTTTTTAATTGCATTTAGGTTTTGGGGTACATGTGAAGAACATGTAAGATTGTTGCATAGGTACACGCATGGCAGTGGGGTTTGCTGCCTTCCTCCCCATCACCTATATCTGGCATTTCTCCCTGTTATCCCTCCTCAACTCCCCACCCCCCACTGTCCCTCCTCCCCCTCAAAGACCCCAGTGTGTGATGCTCCCCTCCCTGTGTCCTTATTAACACCCACCTATGAGTGCGAACATGCAGTGTTTGATTTTCTGTTGTGTCAGTTTGCTGAGAATGATGGTTTCCAGGTTCATCTGTGTCCCTACAGAGGACATGAATTCATTATTTTTTACAGCTGCATAGTATTCCATGGTATATATGTGCCACATTTTCCCTGTCCCATCTATCATTGATGGGCATTTGGGTTGGTTCCAAGTCTTTGCTATTGTAAACAGTGCTGCAATGAACATTCGTGTGCTTGTGTCCTTACAGCAAAACGATTTATAATCCTTTGGATATATACCCAGTAATGGGATTGCTGGGTCAAATGGAATTTCTATTTCTAGGTCTTTGAGGAATCACCACATTGTCTTCCACAATGGTTGAACTAATTTACACTCCACCAACAGTGTAAAAGTGTTCCTATTTCTCCACATCCTCTCTAGCATCTGTTGTCTCCAGATTTTTTAATGATCGCCATTCTAACTGGTGTGAGGTGGTATATCATGTGATTTTGATTTACATTTCTCTGATGACCAGTGATGAGCATTTTTTCATGTCTGTTTGCTTCATAATGTCTTTTGTAAAGTGCCTGTTCATATCCTTTGCCCACTTTTGAATGGGCTTGTTTTTTTCTTGTATATCTGTTTTAGTTCTTTGTAAATTCTGGATATTAGCCCTTTGTCAGATGGGTAGATTGCAAAAGTTTTTTCCCATTCTGTTGGTTGCTGATTCACTCTAATGACAGTTTCTTTTGCTGTGCAGAAGCTCTGGAGTTTGATTAGGTCCCATTTGTCTATTTTGGCTTTTGTTGCCATTGCTTTTGGTGTTTTAGCCATGAATTCCTTGCCTATGCCTATGTCATGGATGGTTTTGCCTAGATTTTCTTCTAGGGTTTTTATGGTGTTAGGTCTTATGTTTAAGTCTTTAATCCATCCGGAGTTAATTTTAGTGTAAGGTGTCAGGAAGGGGTCCAGTTTCTGCTTTCTGCACATGGCTAGCCAGTTTTCCCAACACCATTTATTAAACAGGGAATCCTTTCTCCATTGCTTGTTTTTGTGAGGTTTGTCAAAGATCAGATGGTTGCAGATGTGTGGTGTTGCCTTCGAGGCCTCTGTTCTGTTCTATTGGTCTATATCTCTGTTTTGGTTCCAGTGCATGCTGTTTTGATTCCAGTACATGCTGTTTTGATTACTGTAGCCTTGTAGTATAGTTTGAAGTCAGGTAGTGTGATGCCTCTAGGTTTGTTCTTTTTGCTTAGAATTGACTTGGCTATGCAGGCTCTCTTTTGGTTCCATATGAAGTTTAAGGTGTTTTTTTCCAGTTCTGTGAAGGTCATTGGTAGCTTGATGGGGATAGCGTTGAATCTGTAAATTACTTTGGGCAGTATTGATTCTTCCTAACCAGGAGCATGGAATGTTTCTCCATGTTTGTGTTCTCTCTTATTTCATTGAGCAGTGGTTTGTAGTTCTCCTTGAAGAGGTTCTTTACATTCTTTGTTAGTTGTATTCCTAGTTATTTTATTCTCTTTGTAGCAATTGTGAATAGCAGTTCGTTTTTGATTTGGCTCTCTTTAAGTCTGTTATTGGTGTATAGGAATGCTTGTGATTTGGGCTGGGCGCGGTGGCTCACGCCTATAATCCCAGCACTTTGGGAGGCTGAGGCGGGTGGATCACAAGGTCAAGAGATCGAAACCATCCTGGTCAACAAGGTGAAACCCCGTCTCTACTAAAAATACAAAAATTAGTTGGGCATGGTGGTGTGCGCCTGTAGTCCCAGCTACTAGGGAGGCTGAGGCAGGAGAATTGCTTGAACCCAGGAGGCGGAGGTTGTGGCGAGCCGAGATTGTGCCATTGCACTCCAGTCTGGGTAACAACAGTGAAACTCCGTCTCAAAAAAAAAAAAAAAAAAAAAAGGAATGCTTGTGGTTTTTGCACATTGATTTTGTATCCTGAGACTTTGCTGAAGTTGCTTATCAGTTTCAGGAAATTTTGGGCTGAGACAATGGGGTCTTCTAGATATACAATCATGTTGTCTGCAGATAGAGACAATTTGACTTCCTCCTTTCCTAATTGAATACCCTTTATTTGTTTTTCTTGCCTGATTGCTCTGGCTAGAACTTCCAATACTCTACTGAATAGGAGTGGTGAGAGAGGGCATCATTGTCTAGTGCCAGATTTCAAAGGGAATGCCTAGTTTTTGCCCATTCAGTATGATATTGGCTGTGGGTTTGTCATAAATAGCTTTTATTATTTTGAGATATGTAACATCAATACCTAGTTTATTGAGGATTTTTAGCGTAAAGAGCTGTTGAATTTTGTCAAAGGCCTTATCTGTATCTATTGAGATAATCATGCGGTTTTTGTCTTTGGTTCTGCTTATGTGGTGAATTACATTTATAGACTGCGTACGTTGAACCAGCCTTGCATCCCCAGGATGAATCCTGCTTGATCATGCTGGATAAGCTTTTTGATGTGCTGTTGCAGTCGGCTTACCAGTATTTATTGAAGATTTTTGCATCTATGTTCATCATGGATATTGGCCCAGAGTTTTCTTGTTGAGTCTCTGCCGGGTTTTGGTATCAGGATGATGCTGGTCTCATAAAATGATTTGGGAAGGATTCCCTCTTTTTTTATTGTTTGGAATAGTTTCAGAAGGAGTAATACCAGCTCCTCTTTGTATGTCTGGTAGAATTCGGCTGTGAACTCATCTGGACCTGGACTTTTTTTGGTTAAATTGATGCCTCAACTTCAGCCCTTGTTGTTGGTCTATTCAGGGTTTTGACAACTTCCTGGTCTAGGCTTGGGAGGATGCAGGTGTCCAGGAATTTATCCATTTGTTTTTTTTTTAAAGATGGGGTTTCACCATAATGGCCAGGCTGGTCTTGAACTCCTGACCTCACGTGATCCACCCACCTCAGCCTCCCAAAGAGCTAGGATTACAGGCTTGAGCCACTGTGCCTGGCTGGGTTTACTAGTTTGTGCGTAGAGTTGTTTGTAATAATCTCTGATGATGGTTTGTAATTCTGTGGAATCTGTGGTGATATCCCCTTTATTGTTTTTTATTGCATCTATTTGATTAATCTCTCTTTTCTTTTTTATTAATCTGGCTAGTGGTCTATTTTGTTGATCTTTCTGAAAAACCAACTCCTGGATTTATTGATTTTTTTTTTTTTTTGAAGGGTTTTTTATGTGTCTGGCTCCTTCAGTTCTGCTCTGATCTTGTCTTCTGCTAGGTTTTGAGTTTTTTTTAATCTTACTCCTCTAGCTCTTTCAATTTGGATGACAGGGTGTCGATTTTAGATCTCTCCTTTCTTCTCATGTGGGCATTTATTGCTATGTATTTTCCTCTAGACACTGCTTTAAATGTGTCCCAGAGATTCTGGTACATTGTGTCTTCATTCTCATTGGTTTCGAAGAACATCTTTATTTCTGCCTTCATTTTATTGTTTATGCAGTCAGCATTCAAGAGCCAGTTCAGTTTCCATGAAGCTGTGCGGTTCTGAGTTAGTTGCTGAATTCTGAGTTCTAACTTGATTACACTGTGGTCTCAGAGACTGTTTGCTACGATTTCTGTCCTTTTACATTTGCTGAGGAGTGATTTACTTCCAATTATGTGGTCAATTTTAGAGGTGTGATGTGGTGCTGAGAAGAATGTATATTCTGTGCATTTGGGGTGGAGAGTTCTGTAAATATCTATGAGGTTTGCTTGCTCCAGGTCTGAGTTCAAGTCCTGGATATCCTTGTTAATTTTCTGTCTCATTGATCTGTCTAATTTGACAGTGGAGTGTTAAAGTCTCCCACTATTATTGTGTGGGAGTCTAAGTCTCTTTGTAAGTCATTAAGAACTTGCTTTATGTATCTGGGTGCTCTTATATTGGGTGCATATATATTTAGGATCGTTAGTTCTTGTTGCATTGATCCTTTTACGATTATGTAATGTCCTCCTTTGATCTTTGTTGGTTTAAAGTCTATTTTATCAGAGACTAGGATTGCAACTTCTGCTTTTTGTTTTGCTCTCCATTTGCTTGGTAAAGCTTCCTCCATCCCTTTATTTTGAGCCTTTGTGTATCCTTGCATGTGAGATGGGTTTCCTAGATACAGCACACTGATGGGTTTTGGCTTTTTATCCAATTTGCCAGTCTGTGTTTTGATTGGGGCGTTTAGCCATTTACCTTTAGGGTTTATATTGTTATGTGTGAATTTGATTCTGCCATTTTGATGCTAGCTGGCTGCTTTGCCCATTGGTTGATGCAGTTTCTTCATTGTGTCAATGCTCTTTTCACTTTGGTATGTTTTTGTAGTTGCTGGTACTGGCTGTTCCTTTCTATGTTTAAGTCTGCTGCAGCAGAACTCTTAAATGCCTTTTTCTTCCCCCAGGTACTCTGTCCCGGGAAGGTAGGGCTTTAAGTTTCTGTTGCGCTGCTGTCTTTTTTCAGGGCTGCCCTGCCTAGCGAGGCGTCAACCTGGTCACAGTTTGCCTACAGAGGCTTTGCTGAGCTGCCATGGGCTCTGCCCAGCTGCCGTGTGAACTTCCCTGCAGTCCTGTTTATAGGGCTGTAGTTAGAACTGCCTCAGCAATGGTGGCCCACCTCGGGAGTGGTGGACTGCCTTGGTAATGGTGGGCACCCCTCCCCCACAGAGCTGGACCATTTTGGGTTCAGCTGTGCTTGCTGTGAAACTCTCAATCCAGAGCGTTTCAGATTGCTGTTTTTTGTGACATTTTGTGCAGAGACCTGCTGCACTGGCTGAAACAGTCACACTGGGGGCTGTTTTTTGAGCCTGATCACCTGGCTGCCTGCCTCAGACCCCCGCCCCCCCGCTTTTTTTTTTTTTTTTTCAGTTGAACAGGTGACTTGAAATGGCGCCTGGGTTTGTGTGATTTCTTGTGCACAGACCCGCTGTGCCGGCTGAAACAGCCGCTGGACACCTGTGGCACTTTTTCATGGTGGAATCTCCTGGCCTAGCTCCGTTTCAGTCCCTTTTGTTCAGTTGAACTGGCGACTCTGTCTCCCAGGATTCCTCTCACAAGCTGAAAAGGTGCCTGGATTTGTGTGACATTTTGTGCACAGACCTGCTGTGCTGGCTGAAACAGTCACACTGGGGGCTCATGGCGCTTTTTCGCCCAGGAATCTCCTGGCCTAGCTCCGTTTCATTCCCCTTTTGTTCAGTTGAACGGTGACTGTCCCCCAGGCATTCCACATGCCTGTTAAAAAGGCACCTGGATCTGTGTGATTTCCCGGGTGGCGACCCATTGTGCTGGCTCAAACAGCCACGCTGGAGATTCGTGGCACTTTTTTGGCCAGGAATTTCCTGGCCTGGCTTTCTGTTTTGGTCCCCTTCTTACCAGTCTAACAGACAGATGTCTCCCAGGCGTTCCAATCACCAGCTAAAACAGCTCCTGGTCCCGTGTATTTTGTGCGGACACCTTCCGTGCCAGCCAAAACAGCTGCACTGGTGAACCATGGGGTTCCTCCGCCTGGAGTCCCCTAGTCTGTGGGCAATAAAAATCCATCTGGAAATGCGGCATCCACTTACCCTCCATGCTCTCGCTGGGAGCTGTGATCCAGAGCTGCTCCTAATCAGCCATCTTGGAGGAAGATTCTTGAGACACACTCTTAAGATAGGATTCCAGGATTGGTTTGGTTGTGCCTTTGGACTTGGGCACAGTGCTGAGCTCTTGCTGATGGGAAACAGGCTGCCAGAGGCCCCTGGCATGCAGGTGGCATTACAGCGCCTATGGTTGACAGAGATGAAGGGCTGAGGCAGGGCTGTGGCTGCTGGGCTCAACAGTTGTGGTAGTTGTGACACTTCTAAAGACCAGGGTATTAGATGGATTCTCCAGAGTGCCCACAGACAGTGATGAGCTTGGGTCTGCTAACTCAGCTCAAGTCACAGTCAGAACTAGACAGCTTCCATGACAGCCCCCTAATTTTATTTTTTTTTTTAGACAGAGACTCACTGTGTCACCCAGGCTGGAGTGCAGTGGCGAGCTCTCGGCTCACTGCAACCTCCACCTCCCAGGTTCAAGTGATTCTCCTGCCTCAGCCTCCTGAGTAGCTGGGATTGCAGGCGCGCACCACCATGCCAGGCAGATTTTTGTATTTTTAGTAGAGATGGGGTTTCGCCATGTTTGCCACGCTGATCTCAAACTCCTGGCCTCAGGTGATCTGCCCACCTCAGCCTCCCAAAGTGCTGGGATTACAGGTGTTAGCCACACTGGGCCCAAAAGTTTTTACTTCTTTAGAATGGAGTCATCTAATTGCACCCAGAGTAAACAGGCGATTTTGAACCCCCAAGTCACTCCAAGCAAGTGACTTACCAGTGTCCGAGGGACCTACCGGCCTTCTTGTGCTTAGAAACCTTGTGATGTGGCCAGGTGCAGTGGCTCATGCCTATAATCCCAGCACTTTGGGAGGCCAAGGCGGGTGGATCATGAGGTCAGGAGTTCAAAACCAGCCTGGCCAACATATTGGAATCCTGTCTCTACTAAAAATAGAAAAAATTACCTGGACATGGTGGTGGGCACCTGTAATCCCAGCTACAGGAAGCTGAGGCAGGAGAATCACTTGAACCCAGGAGGTGGAGGTTGTAGCGAGCCGAGATAGTGCCACTGCTCACCAGTCTAGGCAACAGTGCAACACTCTCTCTCAAAAAAAAAAAAAAAAAAAAAGGAAACCTTGTAATGACCGCACCAGGGGCAGACACCTTGAAAGCAGTTGTTCATCCTTTTGGTTTTTTTATTTTTGAGACAGAGGCCTGCTCTGTCTCCCAGGCTGGAGTGCAATGGTGCAGTCTCGGCTCACTTCAACCTCCACACCTCCAAGGTTTAAGCGATTCTCCTGCCTTAGTCTCCCGAGTAGGTGGGACTACAGGCCCCTGCCACGGCACCCAGCTAATTTTTGTATTTTTTAGTAGAGACAGGTTTCGCCATGTTGGACAGGCTGGTCTCGAACTCCTGACCTCAGGTGATCCGCCTGCCTCAGCATTCCAAAATGCTGGGATTACGTGTGTGAGCCACCGTGCCCAGCCTTTTTTCCTTTAGAGATAAGATCTGACTATGTTGCCAAGGCTGGTCTCAAACTCCTGGGCTCAAGTGATCCTCCCCTCTTGGCCTCCCAGAGTACTGGGATTACAGGAGTGAGCCACAGTGTCCCATCCCATGTTTTTTTCTCATGGCCAGCTGTTACACAAAAATAACAGATGCACTCTATTCTTCTTTAGACTCGCCACAAGCACCCCCTGCTGCCTCTAGACCCATAAATACCTAGAGTCAAATCAGCTTGCTCCTGGGGGACAGGTGCTGGCTAGGACTCAAGCTGGCGCAGCTTTTCCATGAGAATGACAAGGCTTCACAGATATACAGTCAGAAGCTTGGGGAATGCATGCAGAAGCAGATTTTAGGGGTGTTACACCAATGAGGGTGGATGTAACATTAGCTCAGGCCAAATTTCCTGGTATGAGTGCACTTTCTAGAGCTGGATTTCATGGGTTACCTTGTGCAGCTGGACTTGGTTCTGATAGCTCGCTTGGTTGCCTGACCGGAGCTTGGATCCAGCAGTGGCCTAAAGGTAATGAGGCAGAGAGACGAGAACTGCCCTAGCATGATGGATGAGGGGAGTCCCAAGGTTTGGGGAGACAGAAGTGCTGGATTGGAATGATCGTGTTCAACCTGCATGTCCACGCTCCAACCATGTTCTCCAAGAAGGCGCCCCTTACCGGCCAATCCCATGATAGTTAATCATCCTGTATGCTGAACTTGTCCTATTCCCATTCCTGTGTGGTTTGGGTCTCCTAATTGGACCCCAACTGAGGCAAACGGCAAAGACAAAAAGAACAGCACCCTCTGAGGCTTCCCAGTGCTTCCAGGAGGAGCAGCACCCCCTACCCCAGAAGCTAGATGAGCTCAGAGGGCCTGGAATCCCTTTCTCTCAGCCCTAGGGTGAGGTGGCCTTGCAGACTCCCTCAGGAGGTGCTCTGGCCCCTGCCCCCAGCCCCTGGCTGTCATTTCCCACTCCCGCTATTATTCCATTAATACTCACTTCTTCCCCACTCCCTTCCTCTAGCAGCTCCCAGGAGCTCCATTATTCAAACTTGGGGGAGGAAATCAGGGCTGGACAGATCAACTACTGCTGCTGCTGGTAGACTGGGTTCCTGCCATAATGGGGACAGGCCCGCCCCAAAACCAGGGTGGGGTGAAGGGGTCAGCCAGGCTTAGTGGGAGGCCCTTAGTCCCACCCCAAGTCCTGGGAGGTCTCCAGACAGCTGATGCAGCCCCAACAGCAGGGGCCTGAGGGCAGGGATGCAAACACTGGCAGACACCCTCTCCTGCCCCAGGGGGCCGGATGTGAGTGTTCCCGGAGTCACGGTGCCACTGGGGGAGGGGAGGGGTGGGGCCCCAGGGCGAGGCTGGCTCCAGGGCTGCAGGTGGGGGGTAGGGTAGGAACAGATTTCCACCCTGCTGGGCAGCAGCCCAGGTGCTGAGAGGGATGGAAGAGATGCAGGGGGTCAGCTCCAGGGGTTCCCTGCGTGCCCCCCCCCAACTGCCCTTGGAGCTCTAATCCTTTCCTCGCTCATTCTTCCTCCTGGCTCCCTCTCCACCTCTCCCGGGTCTGGCGCCGAAGGCTTAGAGTCCCTCCCCTCTGTCCTCCACCTGCCTTTCTCAACTTGGCTTTCCCAGCGAGCACCCCAGATGGCTTCTGCCACCCCTTATCTTTCTCAACACCTCCATTTCCCTCCTCCCCTCCCTCCTGGCCACCTTCCCATTTTCCCTTCTTCTCTGTCTCTCCCTCTCAGCTCTCTCCACCTCTCACCCCAGCTCCCCGTCTCTGTTCCTGGCCATCTTCCCTCTCCACAACGTCTGTCTTTCCTCCTCCTCAGCAGCCCCCTTCCCCCCACCTCACCCTGACTGGGCAGCAACAACAAACATCCCTCTCTCTGGCGGGCCTGCCGATCGCTTCCCACTCAGCACATTCACTGCCGCCTCCTTGCCATGGGCGCAGCTGGGCGCCAACTTCTCAGCCTCCCCTTCTCTGCTTCAGTGGGACCCTGCCTTGCCCAGGTCACTCTGACACTCCCCAGCCCAGGCCCAGCCCTCAGCCGCACCCTCCCTGACACTCCCTCCCTCCCCAGGCCCCGGTTCTCCCCTCCCAGGCCTCACTAGGCCCCCCGTCTGGTTTCTGTGGCTGCCCCCTGCACCCTTCCCAGATGTCTCACCAGAAACCAGCCCTAACACGCTGGAGCCCCATCTCTGGTCGGCCTCCTGCCCTCCTCCCTCCCGCCTCAGCCCCGCCCCAGCCCCTGGGGCCCTCCCTGCTCCCGCTCTGCTCCACTCCCCTCCCCGCTTCTCTGGACTGGCTGGGCAGGGCTGGGCCAGGCAGTCGACTACGCAGGGGCCGGGGCAGGCGATCTGAGAGAGCAGAGGGAGGCCTGACCTGAGGCCCGGCACCCGGAGCTGGTGGGAGCCGGACCCAGAGGTAAAGAGGCCCGGGGTCACTGGTTTCCCAGTCCCTGGGGTGGGGATGGTGCAGGAGGCAGGCGGGCTTTCTAACCCTGTCGAGCGTGTGCTCCTGATTTCCTGGTGAGGGCGATAAATGGAGGGAGAGGGAGGAGGCGGACGGCAGGGTCCCTTGGATGGAGACAGGGAAGAGGTAGACCCTTGGGCTCTTAGGAAGGTGGAAGGATTTGGACTGAGTGGGAAGAACAGGGTGCTGGAATGGGATTGGAATGGGGATTCCTAGGTCTAAGAGTAAGAAACAACCGGGTCCCTGTGTCAAGGGAGCTGTTGAGGGTCTGGGACTGAGAGAAGCTGTTTTAGGGGTTGTTGAGGACTGTGGGAGACTGTGACTCTGGCTGGCTGGGACCTCTCTGGAGGCCCATACCCCAAAGGCCTCCCCTGTGGCTCCCTTGTAGCTCCCGCGGCCACCCCTTCTCTGGGCCGGGTCATGCGCTGCCCCAAGTGTCTTCTCTGCCTGTCTGCACTGCTCACGCTCCTGGGCCTCAAAGTGTACATTGAGTGGACATCTGAGTCCCGGCTCAACAAGGCCTACCCCAGCCCTCGGGGCACCCCGCCAGGCCCCACGCCAGCCAACCCTGAGCCCACCCTGCCTGCCAATCTCTCCGCCCGCCTGGGCCAGACTGGCCCACTGCCTTCGGCTTACTGGAACCAGCAGCAGTGGCGGCTGGGGTCCCTGCCCAGTGGGGATGGCACTGAGGTGGGGAGCTGCCAGGCTTGGGGGGCCGCCGCTGCCGCCGAGATCCCTGACTTCGCCTCCTACCCCAAGGACCTCCGCCGCTTCCTGCTGTCAGCAGCCTGCCGGAGCTTCCCACAGTGGCTGCCTGGAGGTGGTGGTGGCCAAGTGTCCAGCTGCTCTGATACCGATGTCCCCTACCTGCTGTTGGCCATCAAGTCAGAGCCAGGGCGCTTTGCAGAACGACAGGCCATCAGGGAAACATGGGGCAGTCCAGCTCCTGGGATCCGGCTTCTCTTCCTGCTGGGGTCTCCGGTGGGTGAGGCAGGGCCTGACCTGGACTCACTGGTGGCCTGGGAGAGCCGTCGCTACAGTGACCTGCTGCTCTGGGACTTCCTCGACGTCCCATTCAACCAGACACTCAAAGATCTGCTGCTGCTGGCCTGGCTGGGCCGCCACTGCCCCGCCGTGAGTTTTGTCCTGCAAGCTCAGGACGATGCCTTCGTGCACACCCCTGCGCTGCTGGCTCACCTTCGGGCCCTGCCACCCGCCTCGGCACAAAGCCTCTATCTGGGTGAGGTCTTTACCCAGGCCATGCCCCTCCGGAAGCCAGGAGGACTCTTCTACGTGCCCGGGTCCTTCTTCGAAGGTGGCTACCCAGCCTATGCAAGCGGGGGTGGCTACGTCATTGCTGGGCGCCTGGCACCCTGGCTGCTGCGGGCGGCAGCCCGTGTGGCACCTTTCCCCTTTGAGGACGTCTACACTGGCCTTTGCATCCGTGCCCTGGGCCTGGTGCCCCAGGCCCACCCGGGCTTCCTCACAGCCTGGCCAGCAGACCGCACTGCGGACCACTGCGCTTTCCGCAACCTGCTGCTGGTACGGCCCCTGGGCCCCCAGGCCAGCATTCGGCTCTGGAAACAACTGCAGGCCCCACAGCTCCAGTGCTGATGCTCGGTGGGGCGGTGGGGCACTGACCTGCTTGCTCTGCCCCTCCTTCCAGGTCTTGATGAGAGGGAGAAAGGCCTAGAATCTGGACAATTTCAGCCACTTCTCCACCACCAGGGGCCTGGGCAGGAAAGATGGGGCGGCAAACTCTTTGTGCCTACTTTTTGTTTTTGAAAAATATGCACTCCCCACTCTGAGGCCCGGGGTTGTTTTTGCATCTGTGGGGCCCCGCAGTGGTGGGGAGCAGGGCTTGGCCACACCCTGACCTTCACCCTGGATGCTCCCGACACCCTTGCTGGGCAGGGCTAGCTCCGCTGGTCTCCCCATTACTCTACTGGACAGCAGGCTTGCCCCATTCTTTGAGAGGGCGGGAGACCATCTCTGGAGGATCCCCCTGCCCCCATCCTGTCTGGTGGAGCTAACCTTCCAGCTTGTACAAACTTCCGGGGAAAGTAGATATCTCAAGGGCCTTGACCTTATTTAGCTAAGACGGAGAAGCTGGGGGTGGCCCCAAATCACCCCCAAACTCCAGGAAACAGACCAGAGGTGGTAGAGAGCCAGACCCAGAGAGACACTTTATTCGTGACCTCTGCTGGCCACTCGCACCTGCACAAGTTCCACAGGCTGGCCTGCCATGTCCACCCCATGCCCAGAGGGGCTTCTAGTCCAGGACACGCCCTCACCCAGCCCCTGGGAGAAGGCACTGCAACAACAGGTGAAGAGGGGGCTGACAGAGCCTCAGCAACTGCTGCAGATACTGTCCCCTAACAATGTAACAGCCTGGAGGGGCAGGGGTGGGGAGCGGCAGCCACCCAGGCCCCTGAGGTATTATTACAGAAGGAGCTGGCTGGGGAAGCTCCCCCTGCTCCCCTTAGAGTGGGGCTCTCTCTCGGGGTAGCTGAGGGCAGGTGGGGGTGGGCTGAGCAGGCCTCACTTATCGAAGTGCTCCAGTGGGTAGTGTTCCCCGTAGGTCTGCAGGTGGCGGGCCAGGGACTCCTGCTGCTTGCGGAGCTGGCTGGGCATCTCCTGATAAACGTCTGAGAAGAGCAGGTTGGGGTTGGGCTTGGGTTTCCGCTCAGCCTGCTCAAAGGCCTCCATCACCTGTGGGGACATGGGGCAGTGGGCAGGTGGCCGGCCGGCCGCCCACACAGGGCCCTGCCTCCTCCTGCGGGGCCTTGGCAAGGAGTTAACCGCTTCCAGCCTTTGTGTTCTCACCTGGACGGTGGACATGATCATCCTAGCAGAGGTGTAACAAACACTCCCAAATCCCAGCAGGGATCACTGTGGATTTGTTTAAGGTTTGCAGCAGCCCTAAGAGGTAGACAGCTGAGCAATGAGGAAACTGAGGCACAGAGAAGGGCAGGGACTTGCCCACCGTTACGTAGTTACGGACAGAGCCAGGATGTCCAGTGCTGCCCCCACCAGTCGGCTGCATGGCCCCTGGCTCCTAATGACCAGGCCAGGGAGGGCGGCACACTGAATCTGGGCAGGGTACGCAGACTGCACATGGGTCACCACCTACTCCTCAAGCCAGTTTTTTTTTTTTTTTTTTTTTTTGAGACCGAGTTTCACTCATGTTACCCAGGCTGGAGTGCAATGGCATGATCTCGGCTCACTGCAACCTCCGCCTCCTGGGTTCAGGAAATTCTGCCTCAGCCTCCCGAGTAGCTGGGATTACAGGCACACGCCACCATGCCCAGCTCATTTTTTGTATTTTTAGGAGAGACGCGGTTTCACCATGTTGACTAGGATGGTCTCGATCTCTTAACCTCGTGATCCACCCGCCTCGGCCTCCCAAAGTGCTGGGATTATAGGCTTGAGCCACTGCGCCCGGCTTTTTTTTTTTTTTAAAGAGGTAGTATCACTCTGTTGCTCAAGCTGGAATACAGTGGTGCCATCGAGGATCACTGTAAGCTCTGCCTCCCAAATTCAAGGGATTCTCATGTCTCAGCCTCCTGAGCAGCTGGGACTACAGGCACCCTCCACTGCGCCCGACTAAATTTTTTTTTTATTAGAGATGAGGTTTCACCATGTTGGCCAGGCTGGTCTCAAATCTCTGACCTCAGGTGATCCACCTGCCTTGGCCTCCCGAAGTGCTAAGATTATAGGCGTGAGCTGCCACACCCTGCCCTAATTTTTGTATTTTTAGTAGAGATGGGGTTTCACCATGTTAGCCAGGCTGGTCTCAAACTCCCAACCTCAAGTGATCTGCCCGCCTTGGCCTCCCAAACTGCTGGGATTACAGGTGTGAGCCACTGCGCCTAGCCTCGAATCAGCTTCTGAAATGGGCACCACCAGCATCCTCCTTCAAGGACAAAGAAGCGGAGGACAACGTGCCAAAAACACAGAGCCAGGACACATGTGGCCCCAGCAGCCTGGCTCCACAGGCTACATCTGAGACATCATCAGGGTCATTCCTGAGCCCCCTAGTTCGGTGCCCTGTAAATCCTTCCTGAGCTCTGCAGGCCGAAGCAGCCCCTGGCATACCCTCCCGGCAGGGCGCCCTCACCTTCTTGCGGGACTGCTTCCTCCAGGCCTTCTCCTGCTCCTCATCCCACCAGCCTTGGCTCAGCAGGTAGTGCCGCAGCCGGGAGATGGGGTGGTCCTGCTTGTCCCAGTAATTGACCTCGTCCACCGAGCGGTATGCCGAGCTGTCGTCACTGGTGCTGTGGTGCCCGATCCTGCACAAGGGAAAGTGGCCCCAGGTCAGTGTGGGGCTCCCTGGATTGGGGGTCAGGAGGGAGGACAGGGGATGGACTAGGGAAGGAGGAATGGAAACAGAATAAAGGCAAGGGGAAGATGCAACACATGAGGTGATGAGGCCATGTTTTGGGGACGGTGATCCATATACGGAAGATGCCATGGTGGCTGCCAGCACTCTGGGGGAGCTGACGGGGGGGGGCAGTGGGCACCTGTAGGTCATGGCCTCGATGAGGAAGGGCTGGTTCTCTGCCACAGCCCGCCGTCGGGCCTCCTTTGTGGCGTTGTACACAGCAAACACATCATTGCCATCCACACGGATTGACAGGATGCCATACCCGGGGCCTCGTGCTGCTGTGGGGACACAGAGAAGGCGGATCAGGCCAGGGTTCAGATGAGGAAAATGCATGGGGCTGAGGGGATGAGCAGGGAGAGGGCAGGAGAGAGCAAGGCAGAGGGCTCAGGACCTCGACTCCCGTGGCCGACCAGGTGCCAGACGCCACAGGACACAGGACCAGAACCAGGAAGGAGGGCAGGGGTAGCAGGAAGGTGGGGAAATGGAGGGAAGGAGATGATCCCGGCCGGGTGAGGGTCGGCCAGCAGAGCCCATACCAATGCCATCGCCACGGTACTGCTCGGAGGTGGGTGTGGAGATGGCATAGCCATTGTTCCGGCAGAAGAAGATGATGGGGCACTCGAGTGTGGCAGCAAAGTTGAAGCCAGCGTGGGCATCCCCCTCACTGGCCGCCCCCTCGCCGAAGTAACAGATGACGACCCTGTTGGCGTTGGCCCGCTTGGCTGCATAGGCCGCCCCTACCGCTGCAGAGGATGAGAGGGTGGTGAGCAGGGGCAGAGACTCACACTCATTCACACTCACGTGACCCAGGGCTCTGCGGCTCAGCCAGCAGGCCCTAGGCTTCGAGGGGAAAGAAAAAAACCTGAGCTCCTGATGCCCCCCCCAGCATCTGCCCAAGTCTCCTCCCACTCGCTGAGAGCAGCTCCACCCTTCTAACCGCTCAGGCCGAAGACTCCAAGCCAAACTTCCCCCCATTCCCCTTCAGAACCTGACACCCCTCACCTCTTCCTCTGCAGCAGCACCCTGCTCAGGCCCAAGTTACCGAGCAGCTGCCTTGCTAGCCCACCACATGCTGCCCAATCCGTTCCCCACAGGGCAGACTGCTAACTCCATGAACAGGAGCCAGGCCAAGGAGGAGCAGACTCCTCCCCACCCGGAGTAAAAGTCAACGTTCCTGCTAAAGGCAAAGGCCTTGAGGCCCCACCCAACCTGCACAGTCTGCACCCCTCCCACCGCCTCCTGGACTTTACCTCCAACCACCCCACACCTGCCCCTCAAACACACCAGGCACACACCTGCCTCAAGACACCACATGGCTCCCTCCCTCACCTCTGGTCCATACTTCAGTGTCACTCTAGTGATGGCCACAGTCCACCACTCCCTGCTGGCTTGGCTGCTCCCTGCAGGACCCCTGCCCCCCCCACATACTCCAGGTGCTCCCTCTCCATCTTTGTTACTGTCTGTCTCCCCCACAATGGCAGCACCAGGAGGGCCGAGATTTGCGTTGCTTTTGTTCCCTGCACTTAAGAGTGGCACTGGCACAGGGCAAGAAATTTGTACATTTGAAGGGACTTAGCAGGGGCCCAGAGGGAAGGTTAGGACCAGGCCCCAGCCTTGTGGAAACCCTATTACCTTTAGCTCAAATGCCCCTGCCTACCTCCCACCTAAGAGGCTCGAACTGCTTCTTGTTCCCCAACAGAATATTAAGCTAAGGGGTGCAGAGCCCTCTGCAGCACCAGGTACAGAGAGGTCTGGAGACACACAGACTTCGTGCATCTCGGCTGCCCTAGGGCAGAGAAGCCAGAGCCCAGACTGACCCTCCATCAGGCTACAGGCCCCCGAGGGCAGGAAGGGGTTCTGATTCCTTAGTCTCCACACTATGGGGGTGCAGACCTGGTACCCAGTGGGTTTGCTTTCCAAACAAACCCTTATAAGAAAAGAGGCTTCAGGGCACCTACAGTAAGCTTTGAGGAAGCTTGCTTGACTCTCAGGACTGAGGCAGACAAACATCAGGGCCGAGAACCCAGGCTCTGGAGGCACAGAGTCCATGACTGGAGTCCCTGCTCCTCTCCGTCTCTGCCATGTAACCGTTAGCGAGTGACTTCCCTCTTTCACTTCAATTTCCCGTTTTTTGTTTTTTTTTGACAGGGTCTCACTCTGGCTAGAGTGACATAGCATGATCTCAGCTCACTGCAGCCTCTGCCTCCCAAGTTCAAGTGATCCCCCTGCTTCAGCCTCCCAAGTAGCTGGGATTACAGGTGCGCACCACCACGGCCGGTTAATTTTTGTATTTTCAGTGCTTCAGCCACCCAAGTAACTGGGATTACAGGTGTGCACCACCACGGCCGGCTAATTTTTGTATTTTTAGTGCTTCAGCCTCCCGAGTAGCTAGGATTACAGATGCATGCCACGCCCGGCTAATTTTTGTATTTTTAGTAGGGACAGGGCTTGGCAATGTTGGCCAGGCTTCCTGCACTTTTTTTTTCTCACTCGCTTGCTCTCTCTCTCACACACAGGACATGGACCTCCTGCTCTTTAAAACACGAAAAAGAGCAAATAATAACCTCTGCTCCCAAGGCCACAATGAGGGTGCTGTTATACAATGAACGTGCAGCATCGGCACAGTGGAACTTGGTGCCAGTACGCAAGGAGTGGCACTCCTTGCAACACTCAGGAACATGTGGGCTACGTTTGTGAGCAGATAAATGCAGCGGGCATGCGTTTGAGAAATCCAGAGTGTGGTCACACAGGCCCCTGAATGTGGTGGGGATAGCACTAGAGCCCTCATCTAAAGGGTCCCAGACAAGAGGTGCATTCAAAGTCTGGAGCACAGGCTGGGTGCAGTGGTTCACGCCTGTAATCCCAGCAGTTTGAGAGGCCAAGGCGGGCAGATCACTTGAGCTCAGGAGTTCAAGACCAGCCTGGCCAATGTAGTAAAAGCTTGTCTCTACAAAAAATACAAAAAATCATCCAGAAGCAGTGGCATATGCCCATAATCCCAGCTACTTAGGTGGCTAAGTCAGGAGAATCACTTGAGCCCAGGAGGTGGTTACAGTGAGCAGAGATTGCATCATTGTACTCCAACCTGACTGAAGAGAGTCAAACCCTGTCTCAGACCAAAAAAAAAAAAGTGGGCTGGGTGCAGTGGCTCACGCCTGTAATCTTAACACTTTGGGAGGCTGAGGCAGGCGAATCACCTGAGGTCAAGAGTTTCAGATCAGCCTGGCCAACATGGTGAAACCCTACCTCAACGAAAAATACAAAAATTAGCTGGGCATGGTGGTACATACCTGTAGTCTCAGCTAATCAGGAGACTAAGGCAGGAGAATCGCTTGAACCTGGGCAGCAGAGGTTGCAGTGAGCCAAGATCGCACCACGGCACTCCAGCCTGAGTGATGGAGCAAGAGTCTGCCTTAAAAAAAAAAAAAAAAAAAAGAGGCCAGGTGTGGTGGCTCATGCCTGTAATCCTAGCACTTTGGGAGGCCGAGGTGGCTGGATCACCTGAGGTCAGGAGTTCAAGACCAGCCTGGCCATCATGGTGAAATCCCATCTTTATTAAAAAAACAAAACAAGAAAAGAAAGGCTGGGCGCGGTGGCTCATGCCTGTAATTCCTACACTTTAGGAGGCCGAGGCGGGTGATTTGAGGTCGTGAGTTTGAGACCAGGCTGGCCAACATGGTGAAACCCCATCTCTACTAAAAATTAGCTGGGCATGGTGGTATATGCCTGTAATCCCAGCTACTTGGGAGGCTTGAGGCAGGAGAATCGCTTGAACCCAGAAGGCGGAGGTTGCAGTGAGGCAAGATTATGCCACTGCACTCCAGCCTGGGCATCAGAGCAAGACTCCATCTCAAAACAAACAAACAAACAAACAAACAAAGTCTAGAACATACACCAGGGCTCTGGTGGTGGTACCAACCCAGAATTCTACCCAGAAGGGAGGCAGAAGGGCTGGGGCCTGGACAGTGGCATGACACTGGTCTGCATGTATGCTAGGCCCAGGGCATGCTTCCTCACCCTGAGGGATCTGTGTGGCCAGTGGAGAGGAGATAGTGACGAAGTGACGCTCCTTGCAGCCGTAGTGGACGGGCATCTGGCGCCCCTTGCCCAAGTCACTGACGTTGCCATAGCACTGGGCCATGAATAGTTCTAGGGGGTAGTCCCGATACATCAGCACACCTAGGAGGGGAAGAGGCAATGGTTAGCCAAGTGGGCAGTGCAGGGGGTCAGACCAGCCCTATGGGTGACCGGTGGCATGCCAGTAGGCAGACAGGAAAGCTCAGGCTTTGTCTTAAGAGGGAGACTGATGTTCAGACTGACTGACTATGCCCAGCAAGACCAGACAATCTGGTTTTTCAAAAGAAAGCAGAAATCTAGCCTTTTTCTTTCTTTCTCTTAGTGAGACACTGTCTGGTCTTTAAGTGTTTTCAGCTGATTCAATTACCTTTTAAATATCATCATGTACCCAATAAAGGTACAGGCCACTAATTCACAACTAGGAAATAAATATTCTGCCGGATGAGATGGCTCACACCTGTAATCCCAGCACTTTGGGAGGCTGAGGAGGGTGCATCACGAGGTCAGGAGATCAAGACCAGCCTGTCTAACATGGTGAAACCCCATCTCTACTAAAAATACAAAAAATTAGCTGGCTATGGTGACATGTGCCTATAGTCTCAGCTGCTCTGTAGGCTGAAGCAGAATTGTTTGAACCTGGGAGGCAGAGGTTGCAGTCAGCTGAGATTGTGCCACTGCACTCCAGCCTGAGCGACAGAGTGAGACTCCGTCTCAAAAAATAAACTAAAATAAATAATCTGACCATAAATCATCACTATGGCCGCACGTGGTGGCTCATGCCTGTAATCCTAGCACTTTCGGAAGCTGGCGGAGGAGGATCGCTTGAGCCCAGGAGTTGGAGAACAGCCTGGGCAACATAGTGAGAACTTGTCTCTACAAAAATAAAAATCAAAACATTAGCTAGGCATGGTGATGTGTGCCTGTGGTTCCAGCTACTTGGGAGGCTGAGGCAGAGGATTGCTTCAGCCCAAAAGCTCAAGGCTGTAGGGAGCTGAGATATGCCACTGCACTCCAATCTGGGTTACAGAGTAAGACTCTGTCTCAAAAAAAAAAAGTCATAATTATGAACCAAATAACAGCACAGACCACTAATTTACAACTTCTGGATCAGAGAGGAAGTACTCTAATCCATGTATGGCAGTAAAACCTTTTCTTCAGGCCAGGCGCAGTGGCTCACACCTGTAATCCTAGCACTTTGGGAGGCGAGGTGAGTGGATCACCTGAGGTCAGGAGTTTGAGACCAGCCTGGCCAACATGATGAAACCTCATCTCTACCAGAAAAAAACAAAAAAACAAAACAAAACGAAAAACCCTTTTTTCAAACAAAACCTCTGGTGAACACCTACCTATCCATCAAAGGGATCTGCTCCAGGTGAAGGCGACCCTGCCTCCTGAGTTAGACAGGAGGGGGTTTGTGACTGCCCTGGACAAGCTCTTTGACTGCCTGGGTAGGAGGACAATCCTCACATTCACACGTCAGGGGCAGCGCTGTGGATCAATGCTCAGGTACTCAGACAGGGAATGTTATTCAGAGCAGCTCTCTAGCACAGTGCTTTCCAAACCCTTGCTTCACAGCAGAACCCTGTCTTTAGATGCAAATGTTACGGGAATCACATTACACACAGCAGTTTCCTTTTTTTTTTTTTTTCCCCTGAGACAGAGTCTGGCTCTACCACCCAGGCTGGAGTGTAGTGGTGCCATTTCAGCTCACCTCAACCTCCACCTTCCAGGTTCAAGCAATTGTCGTGCCTCAGCCTCCCGAGTGGCTGGGACCACAGGTGTGCACCACTACACCCGGCTAATTTTTGTATTTTTAGTAGAGGTGGGGTTTCACCATGTTGGCCAGACTGGTCTTGAACTCCCGGGCTCAAGTGATCCACACAGCTTAGCCACCCCAAGTGCTGGGATCACAGGCGTGAGCCACCGTGCCAGGCCAGCAGTTACCTTTCATGCAAGGGATGTACATCTTCCCTGAAGAACAATCACTAATATGAAGATAACACTGTGTGCAAAGCACCATTCTGAGCACTCTGCAGAGAGTAACACAATCCCTACAACAACCCTATGAAGCAGGACTCATCCTCCCCATTTGTGCTCCCATAACTGGCTCCACACCACACAACTATTAAGTGGCAGAATAGGGAGTTGAAATGATACAAAATTTACACAGAATTCAAGATTCGGTCTGAGAAGGAAAGTGGGGAGTGCTTTAGCTATTTCCCAGCTAAAGGGGTGCACCATGAGACACCAACATCAACAGTTCAGTACTATTTGGACAATCGGCCCTGAAATGATGCTTTTTTTTTTTTTTTTTTTTGGCAAGATGGGGGAATCTTGCTATGTTGCCCTGGCTAGTCTCAAACTCCTAACTTCAAGCAATTCTCCCACCTGGGCCTCCCAAAGTGCTGGAATTACAGATGTGAACCATGCGCTTGGCCTAAATTATGCACTTGTTGACATCTTATTATTTTTAAAACGGAGTTTTGCTCTGTCGCACAGACTGGAGTGCAGTGGAGCAATTTTGGCTCACTGCAACCTCCACCTCCTGGGTCCAGGCAATTCTGCTTCAGCCTCTGGAGTAGCTGGGATTACAGGTGCGTGCCACCACATCCAGCTAATTTTTGTATTTTTAGTAGACACAGGGTTTCACCATGTGGGTCAGGCTGGTCTTGAACTCCTGACCTCAACTGATCCACCCGCTGCAGCCTCCCAAACATGTCCCACACCCAGCCCACATGTTGACATTTTAGAGTTGAAGGTGTTTAGCATTACTTCAACATTCGCCTTTAATAAAGGTTTTCTGGTATTTTCTGACACATGCTTTTGAATGGACACGATACAAATCCATATAAAATGTGGCTGTGCCGCATATGTAACAAACAGGAGATGCTCTGGTTGAAGAGGGAAAGGGAGGCCTTGTAGAGGGTCAAAGAAGGTCCAAGGCACTGAAACAATCTTGGAATCAGGCTTTCTTGGAATGTGGTACTGGGACCATCCATGTCAGAAGGACTGGGGCAGGGACAGGGGAAGGTGCTAAAAGTACAACCTTGCCAGGCACAGTGGCTCGTGCCGATAATCTCGGCACTTTGGAAGGCTGAGGCAGGTGGATCACTTGAGCTCAGGAGTTTGAGACCAGCCTGGGCAAAATGGTGAAACCCCATCTCTACTAAAAATACACACAAAAAAATTAGCCGGGCATGGTGGCAGGCACCTGTACTCAGAAGGCTGAAGTGAGAGAATCACTTCATCCTAAGAGACAGAAGCTGCAGTGAGCCGAGATCACGCCACTGCACTTCAACCTGGGTGACAGTGAGATCCGGTCTCAAAGAAAAAGAAAATGCAGACTCACCGGCTGATTTGCACCAGGACACTCCAAGTCCAGTGGGAACTGCTGATCTTGCTTGGCACCTGCCACCTTTTTCTTTTTGTGATGGAGTGTCACTGTCACCCAGGCTGGAGTGCAATGGAGTGATCTTGGCTCACTGCAACCTCCGCCTCCCACATTCAAGCAATCTTCCCACTCAGCCTCCTGAGTAGCTGGGACTACAGGTGCACACTACCACACCTGGCTAATTTTTTCATTTTTTTTTTTTTTTTGAGACGGAGTTTCGCTCTTGTTACCCAGGCTGGAGTGCAATGGCGCGATCTCGGCTCACCGCAACCTCCGCCTCCTGGGTTCAGGCAATTCTCCTGCCTCAGCCTCCCGAGTAGCTGGGATTACAGGCACGCGCCACCATGCCCAGCTAATTTTTTGTATTTTAGTAGAGACGGGGTTTCACCATGTTGACCAGGTTGGTCTCGATCTCTCGACCTCGTGATCCACCCGCCTCGGCCTCCCAAAGTGCTGGGATTACAGGCTTGAGCCACCGCGCCCGGCCAATTTTTTCATTTTTTAGAGATGGGGGGGTGTCTCGCCATGTTGCCCACACTGGTATTGAACTCCTGGCTCAAGTAATCCTCCTGCCTCAGCCTTCCGAAGTGTTGACATTACAGGCATGAGCCACCACACCTGGCACCTGCTGCCTCTTAACACTCCTTTTCACTGGGCGCCACTCCCTGCTGGTGCCACCATTGACACTCCACATACAGCCCAGGGAAGACAGCCAAGGGCGGCAAACAGTGAGAGCTGCCTCTGGGTCAGACTCGGACTGAAAGGACTCGGCTCCACTTCACCTTTCCTGACTCAGGGTCTCATCTGGCTTTTAAAGTTGACAATAATGCCCACCTCTCCTGCCTCACGTGGATGGGGAGGTGCTTCAATGAGGCAACAGCATCGGGGCCTGCCTTAACCTCACCCAGCAAGCCCTCGCTCTGCAGTGCAGTGAGGGGAAGTGACAGCAGCTCCGAGGCTAAAGAGCGCTGACAAGAGTACCTCGGCTGGCCAGGCGCAGGGGGTCTGACTGTAATCCCCAGCACTTTGGGAGGCCAAGGCAAACGAATCACTTGAGATCAGGAGTCCAAGATCAGCCTGGCCAATGTGGTGAACCCCCATCTCTGCTAATAATACAAAAATTAGCCAGGTATGGGGGCACATGCCTGTAATTCCAGCTACTCAAGAGGCTGAAGCAGGAAAATCACCTGAACCTGGGAGGGAGAGGCTGGAGGGAGCTCAGATTGCACCACTGCACTCCAGCCTGGGCGACAGAGTGAGACTCCACCTCACACACGCGCGCACGCGCACACACACACACCCAAAAAAAACCAAAGAGATGGAAAAAGGAATAGCACTTGTGTCAAGAGCCCAGGAAAGTGCTAGCTATCATGATGAAGACCACTCTTGTCACAGAAGACAGACAGCATTGACGAGAGGGGCCTGCCAAGTGAGGCCTAGAGTGGGTCTGACTCAATGCCTCCCCCTACACAAGTCCCATCTGCAGCGCCCAGACACTTGTCCCAAGCCTCCATGCTGGACAGTGACTCCTGCAGAGGTGGCCAGGGCCCCGACAGCTGTGTGGAGAGCTCAGTGGCTCCTATGACTCCCATGAGCCTTGCTCAGTCTTGCCTAGAGCCCTCACAAGAGACCCCTTCAACAAAAACAGGTGCAGTGCTCAGCACGGCTGGTGCAGGCCCGGCTTGCTGCCCGGTGCCTGGAGATCTCATTTACCGCACAGATGAGGCTGAATCTCAGACGAATATTATAGGGTGTTTGCCCTCCCAGAGCATGTAGGGCTGGAGGCCTGGTCCAGCCTCAGGGAACAGACAGTCCAGAGCGGACTGTAAGCCATGCTGGTCCACAGGGGCTCTGGACAGTCACATGGTCTGGCCCAGCTGAAGAGCTGTCCCAAGGTGAGGTCCGATCATGAAATCAACCTCTGCCCCCGAGCACTCACTCTGTGCTGCGGGCATTGCCAAGACTCCCTTCAACCGCTGTCTTCAGAAGGGCTACCATCCCCCTTACCAATGAGGAAACAAAAGGCACAGGGCAGTTAAGCAATTTGCCCCAGGCTGTGCAGCAAGACAAAGGGTTAAGATTTGCCTACCCAGCCCAATCTGTGCTGGCTGACAAGCAGAGGGCAGTCCCCTTGCAGGGCTCCTGCCAACAAGCGTCCCAGAACACCCCACTCACTGCTCCCTGGGCTCATACATTCGCTACCAGGCACTCATTCATGCTCAATGATTTTCCTCATTCCTGGTCTTTGACCCTTCCTTCCTTTCACTCATCCGGGCCAGCGGGGCTCTCTCATCTCACACCGCACTCGGGGCTGTCAGGTTCTTCCATCTGCTCCTGCTCCCTGAAGGATACAGTGCTTGAGGAGGGGCCAGGGGATCCCTGCACTGGGCAGACAGGGTCTCCAGCACAGGCCACACCCACAGCCAGCCTTGACCTCACTTCGTCCTCCCAGCAACCCTTGGATGCAGGTACCGTCATGATCCCTCTTTCGGAGATGAGAAAACTGAGGCTGAGAAAGGAAGCGACTTGCCTAAAACCTGACAACTGGTAACAAAGCGTTAAGAGCACAGACCCTGAGCCCCTGCACTTCCCGGACTTCAGAGTGGGAAGACCGCCCCCTCCAGAGTCCGGACCCCTGGCTTGTCTTGGAAAGCTCTTCCTCCAGTGCCTTAGACCTCCGACGCTGTGCTGCTCCTGTAAGGGCACTCAGAAAAACTGAACTGTACCCCTCGATGGGGACCATGAGGCCAAACCACAGACAGACATACCTGCCTCCCGGTACTGGCCAAACACCAGGTCCGTGTTGTCCAGGGCGGCGGCACTCCCCACGTGTGTGCCCTCCTCGCCATAGTTGGTCATGTAGAAGGAGATCCGGCCCTGGGGGTGGAGGGGGGACCGGGGACCCACACTTGATTATGCTGGGCAATGACAGAGAGCCATCCAAACCCTGCCCAGCTTCTGACGCCTCCATGAATCGACAGTTTTCTTGAAGGCCAGTCCTGGGCCAGGCCACGCTGGGGTTCCTGCCTTTATGGAGACGCTGCCAGACTGCTTACAACTGCGAAAGGGATCGAGTCCCTGTGATAGGAGCCCAAAGGAAGCACCTGTTCCACCATGGAAGGGCAAGGATCAATGAGCAAAGGTGGGGGGCGTGGAGGGTTCCAGGCAGAGAGAATGATAGACCGTGAGGCCAGAAGGGCTGGGAGGGGTGGGGAAAGATGAGGAGGGAGAGAAAGGTGGCACCCAGATAACAAAGGAACAATACATTGATTTTACTCTGAGAATAGTGGTAACCGGCCGACAGGTCTTCTCAAGGGAGCGATGTGGTCAGACCTGTGTTTTAGACTCACTCTCAGGCCACAGTGAGGGAAATGGATGGAGCCATCACGGCTGATGGCAGTGGGCCAGGAGAGAGAGGGCGGAGGCCCAGCTTGGGAGCAGAGGTAAGGAGAGAGAGGAGCAGGTGGATGTGTCTGAGGAAGTTGAGTCGGTTGTGTTAGGGAGCAACAGACCCTGTCAGCTGGCCACAGGGGTGCCCAGGCCAGCTTCCTTCTCCCAAATTCCCCGACCTGAGCCTAGAAGACACACACTTAGGTTCCCAGACTCCTTTGCAGCCAGAGGTGGCCGTGGGACACAGTTTCAACCAGAGATTTCAGCAGAAGTCTGCTTTTGCTTTCTGAACAGAAGAGACCACTGCTGCTGGTGCCAGCCCTACCCACCTCCGCCCTCCTTCCTGCCCTGCAGACAGCCATGAAGCCTGGACCTGCAGCAGCCATGCTGTGAACACAAGGCCACAAGCAGAGCACAAATGTCAACTTGCCAAAAACATGGAAGCAGAGAGAGGACGTGGCCGGGTCCCAGAGTGTGCTGCTGAGAGCTGAGCAGCTCCTAAAGAAGTATTCACAGCTGGGCGCGGTGGCTCATGCCTGTAATCCCAGTACTTTGGGAGGTCGTGGCAGGCAGATCTCTTGAGGTCAGGAGTTTGAGACTAGTCTGGCCAACATGGTAAAATCATGTCTCTACTAAAAATACAAAAACTAGCCATGTGTGATGGTGCACACCTGTAATCCCAGCTACTCTGGAGGCTAAGGCAGGAGAATTGCTTGAACCTGGGAGGTAGAGGTTGCAGTGAGCCGAGATCGTGCCACTGCACTCCAGCCCGGACCACAGAGCAAGACTCCGTCTCTAAATAAATACATGAAAATAACAGGAAAAAAAAAGAAATATCTACAGACAGAGGGAATAAGAGAGGAGAAAGGGATAGCAAGAGGAAGGAAGAGAGAGGGATGAGATGAGGTTTCCCGTGTGGGCGAGGATGGATGGTGGTGCCCTTCACTGCGAAATGGACTAAGTAAGGCAAAGGAGCAGGCCTGGGAGCAAGATGTCGAGGTCAAGTTCAGGCAGGCTGAGTTTGCTGTGGGGGATCCAGGGCGAGAAGCCAAGCAGGGCTCTGACAAGCTGTGTGGCTGGAGCTCTGGGCAGCCCTGGCGTACAGAAGGATGTGAGATCACCCAGGGCCATGTGTGAAGTGGAACAACGGCAGCCTGGACAGCACCCTGAGGGACCGGTGCTGTCGTGGCTCTGCAGTACCCTCCTCCATGTGTTCACAGGCCTGGCTTTCCCGCTGCTGTGGGGGAAACTGATGAATACGTGCTTTCTTCTAAGTGGGGAGCCAATTAAAAGTTAATGCATGATCCAGTGCCAAGTGAGTGGGCAGCACTGAGTGCCGAGGGCTTGGCGGGGCTGTCCAGGTTAGTGTGGGAAGGAGCCTGCGACCAGCACCCTGAAGATCAGGACTCAGGCCTACTGGCAGAGGCTCCTGGTTGCCTTCCCAGTATCCTATTCCTCTCCTTTGTTAACAGAGGTCTCATTCTCCCACAGGCAGCAACTGCCTGGCCTAAAAGTTATTAATACATTTCTCAGTCTCCCCAAAAGCTAGGAGTGGCCCATGAAATGCATGCAGATGTTACTAGGTGGGACTACCCAGAAAGCTGCTTAAAGGTGGGGGTGTGGGATAACTGGGATGTGCCATGTCTGGCCTTCTACCTTCCCTCTACTTCCTGCCTGGAATGAGATGTAATGGAGGGAGCTTCAGCAACCATTTTGACTCATGAGGAGACCTCAGAGAAGGTAGAAGCCAATGCTATGAGCGGTGGATCTAAACAATGAAACAAAACTGGGTGTCCAATGACATCATGGTGCCACCAGACCTGCCCCAGGCCACCTGTTTCCAGATTCTTTGATTTTTTTTTTTGAGGCTAAGTCTCAAACTGTCACCCAGGCTGGAATGCAGTGGCATGATCTTGGTTCACTGCAACCTCTGCCTCTCATGCTTAAGTGATTTTCCCACCTCAGCCTCCTGAGGAGCTGGGACTACAGGTGTACGCCACCACACCCAGCTAATTTATTTATTTTTAATAGAGATGGGGTTGTGCTATGTTGGCCAGGTTGATCTCAAACTCCGGACCTCAGGTGATCCACCCACCTCAGCCTCCCAAAGTACTGGGATTACTATGAGCCACCAGGTCCGGCCCAGATTTCTTTTACTCAAAGGAAGAAACTACTCACAGGTATAGGCTACTGCTTTTGTTTTTACTTGTTAAGGTATTGGTTTTTTTTTTTTGGAGTGGACAGGAGGTCTGTAACTCACAGCTAAACACAGTCCAAACAGAAGCAGGCCTCACAGTGGCGAGTGAGGTGCCCTGACTGAGGGCTTCCTCTGTGTCAGCCATCGGACACAAACCCTACTTGCTTGGTCTCAGAGAATTCCTACCCCTACCCGCCAGGGTGGTTCTATCCTTAGCATCATTTTTTAAAACAATGAAGAAACTGAGGGAAAGACAAGAAAAATCACCTGCCTGAAGTCACAGCTGTGACTGGACTCCAAAGCCCCTGTGTGTGCAGCCCACAGAGGGGCAGGGGGGAGCCTCCGTGCACAGGGGTGGTGTGGCCTGGCACTGAGGCTGTGGAGAGAGGAGCAAAGAGCACCAAGACCATGGGAGAACAGGCAGGCAGGGTGGCCAGGAAGGGCTGGACTTGCTCCTGTGGGTGCTGGATGCCCAGGGAATTTTCTGGGCAGGGTGAAGACATTACCCTAACTCAGCAAACCCATGCATAGGGTTCCTGTGAGAACATCTGGGAGTGAGCTGCCTGCCTGAATCCACAGTGTCCCAGCAGGGTCACCTGGGTGCTTGACACAAATGCAAATTCCCAAGCCTGGGAGAGGTCCTGACCCCGCAAGAATGGTGGACATCCAAGGGCCTGCCTTGCCAAACATGCTTCCTGCTCTTCTCAGAGGAACCTCCCAGCCCCGCCCTCCATCTCTGTGGTCTGAGACAGACAGACTCTACTCCTCTACTTCCTCAGTTCCTGGGGGCGGGCACATAGTCTGGGCTTGGCCAATCAGTCACAGTTACTGGTTCATGACAGGGTCTATGAGCAAAGCTTGGTCAATGAGTGCCAGCCGTGGGCCTTGTGCTAAACTGTCAAGGACGACTCTCTTTCCACTACTAAGTGGAAAGGGCAATAACTGCAAGATGGATAGGGTCATCACAAATAACAAGACACTAATATTAAGTGGCAGCTAAATGCCGGTTTGGCTGCTCCTACTTATGCCACCACCAACCCTCACAGCAACCTCATGGGGTAGGTGCAGGTAAAAAAAAAATGAAGCTCTGGCTGGGTGCAGTAGCACTTTGGGAGGCCAACGTGGGAGGATCACTTGAGCCTGAATTCAAAACCAGCCTGGCAACAAGGCAAGACCCCATTTCTACAAAAAGTGAAAAACAGGGGCCGGGCATGGTGGCTCAAGCCTGTAATACCAGCACTTTGAGAGGCCGAGGCGGGTGGATCATGAGGTCAAGAGATCGAGACCATCCTGGTCAAAATGGTGAAACCCCATCTCTACTAAAGATACAAAAAATTAGCTGGGCATGGTGGCGCGTGCCTGTAATCCCAGCTACTCAGGAGGCTGAGGCAGGAGAACTGCCTGAACCCAGGAGGCGGAGGTTACAGTGAGCTGAGATTGCACCATTGCACTCCAGCCTGGGTAACAAAAGCAAAACTCCATCTCGAAAAAAAAAAAAAAAGTAAAAAACATTAGCCAGGGATGGTGGCCCATGCCTATAGTTTCCGCTGTTAGGGAGCCCAAGAGGTCATTGCTACAGTGAGCTACAATTGTGCCACTATACTACAGCCTGGGTGACATAGTGAGACCCAGTATAAAAAAATAAAATAATAAAGAAGAGAAAAGAAAAAAGAGACCAGGCATGGTGGCTCATGCCTGTAATCCCAGTACTTTGGAAGGCTGAGGCAGGCAGATCACCTGAGGTCAGGAGTTTGAGACCAGCCTGGCCACCCTGGTGAAACCCCATCTCTACTAAAAATACAAAAATTACCCACACGTGGTGGCAGGTGCCTGTAGTCCCAGCTACTCAAGAGGCTGAGGCAGAAAAACTGCTTCAACCCAGGAGGTGGAGCTTGCAGTGAACCAAGATCATGTCACTGCACTCCAGCCTGGGTGACACAGCTAGACTCTGTCTCAAAAAAATAAATTAAATTAAATTAAATATAAAATAATTTTTTTTTGTTTGAGACAGAGTTTCATTCTTGTTACCCAGGCTGGAGTGTAATGGTGAGATCTCGGCTCACCGCAACCTCTGCCTTCTGAGCTCAAGCAATTCTCCTGCCTCAGCCTCCCAAGTAGCTGGGATTACAGGCGCGCACCACCATGCCCAGCTCATTTTTGTATTTTTAGTAGAGACGGGGTTTCACCTTGTTGACCAGGATGGTCTCGATCTCTTGACCTCGTGATCCACCCACCTCGGCCTCCCAAAGTGGTGGGATTACAGGTGTGAGCCACAGCGCCCAGCCGATAGAAATAAAATTTTTTAAATGAAATAAAGTAAAATAGGAAACAGAAGCACTGAGATTTTAAACAACTTTCCAAGGACCACAGAGCTAGAAAGGGGCAGGACTAGGACTGTCTTACAGACTTGCTTCAGAGCCTTTACCTGTGTCCTTTCTCTCTGCCTCCTCTCCATGAGCCAGGAGCTGCCAGAGCCCACCACTGCTTGCAGAGGAAAAAAGCCAAGGCAAAAGAGAACAGAAAAGACACAGAGGGAGAGAAGGTATAACGACATCTTTTGAGCCCCCTGGGTCCAGCTGTGCCCCAAACCAGGACCCTCTGGATATGTGGCCATTTGAGTCAGTAACTTCCCTGTTTGTTGACCCTGTCTTGACTGGGTCCTTGTCCCCCGACACTAGGATATTTCAGGGGATCACAGCACATTTCACATGGGCCCAGGGTGGTCCCTGGAGCACTCTAGGAAGCACTGGTGACGCACCCTGTTCCTCAGGACTGTGCGTTTCCAAGAGGAAGGGCTGTCAGGCCGTCATCATGCCTTCTCCCAACGCAGGCAAGCCCCAAGCAAGGCACACAGTAGGTGTTTTTAGTGATCGAGTCCATCCTCTGCTCTCACACTTTTCCCCCAGAGCCCCAAGAAAACCCTCAGAACTCCATGGACCCCTGCAAAAAAAAAAAAGAACCTCTCCTCCTTGGGAGCCATCCTTTGGCCCTTGCAGAGGTAGAGGACCTCAGGTAATTCCAGCCCCCTGCCCCCAAGCCTGTCCCCACGCACCTGCCGCTGAGACTCATAGAGGATGCGGTCCATGGTGTTAAGCAGTGTCATGCTCTTGTAGAACTTCAGCACCTTCTCCTTCGGCAGCTGCGGGTGGAGGCACAGACAGACGTGGGGTAGTTGGGACCAGAGAGCAGACAGGCAAGGGGCCTGGGCATAGGGGGCACGGGAAGGGAGGGAGGCCGCCTCTCACATGGGGGTCCTCGCTGGGGTTGATGATCTGGCCTTGCCGGTCCATGACGCGGTAGATGGGGATTCCAGAGATGACATTGGGCTGGATGAATTCGAGCTTGTCTATAAACTCTGCCGAGGCCCCTGGGAACTGGGGCTTGTCATCCAGAGATGAGAACTGCTGCTCCTGCTGCCTGTGGGGGTGCTGGGGGAGAGAGCAGAAGAGAAGCCCGCATCAGGAGCAGCACCCAGATTTCCGCTGGCTTGACCACAGCAGCAGGCAGGCAGCGTGCTGGTTGAGTACATGACCCCTGTGAACTCAGGGGCCTGACTTGCAGGGTCTGAGCCCCAACTCCACCAGTCTCCCACAGCAACGCCTTGGGCAACTGACTACAACATCTGTGTCTCAGTTTCCTCATCCGAAACACTGGGATAAAAACAGCAGCAGCTATCCCATAGGACTGCTGTAAGATGAAATGACTCAGTGAAGTGTCTGGCAAGTCAAGAACTGGTAGCTATTACTATTCTCATTATCATAGGCCCAAACACTTTATCCTGGCATTCAAGGCCTCCCCAGTCTGGCCACAGATGCCCCCCACCTCTCTCCTTCTGTGATCACAGACACACACGCCCACTGCAGGATGGCCTCTAGGCATCCAGAAAGACTATCTTCTGATCCCTCTATCATGCACCAGTGAAGCCACGCTGAACAGAGCTTAAGTCTTTGAGCTCTTAAGAGTCAGATCCCAGCACTTTGGGAGGCCGAGGTGGGTGGATCACGAGGTCAAGAGATCGAGACCATCCTGGTCAACAAGGTGAAACCCCGTCTCTATTACAAATACAAAAATTAGCTGGGCATGGTGGTGCGCACCTGTAGTCCCAGCTACTCGGGAGGCTGAGGCAGGAGAATTGCTTGAACCCAGGAGACAGAGGTTGCAATGAGCCGAGATTGTGCCATTGCACTCCAGCCTGGGTAACAAGCTCGAAACTCCGTCTCAAAAAAAAAAATAAAGAGTCAGACTGTCTCGGTTCAAATCCCTTACTGGCTTTGGGAGGCCAAGGCAGGTGAATCACTTGAGGTCAGGAGTTCAAGATCAACGTGACAAAACCCTGTACCCACTAAAAATAGAAAAATTAGCTGTGTGTGGTGGCACATGCCTGTAGTCCCAGCTACTCAGGAGGCTGAGGCAGGAGAATCACTTGAACCTGGGAAGCGGAGGTTGCAATGAGCCAAGATTGCACCACAGTACTCCAGCCTGGGTGACAGAGTGAGATTCCATCTCAAAAAAAAATATCCCTTACTGGATGATATGGCAAAGTAACTTCCCCTCTCCATGTGCCCTCTTCCTTGTCTATAAAAATGGAGAACCTCTCATGGAAATGTGAGGCCTAAACAAGATCACGCGGATAAAATATTCAGCACAGTATCTGTAAGCCGTCTAACAAACGCTCAAAACGATCATAGCTATCGTCATTTCCCCTCTCATCTCGGCCTGCTTTACTAGACAGTCTCTTTCCCTATCGCTTGGCAAACTGCTACACGCTTCAGTGTGCACTATACTCCAGTCCCAGCTCTCTCTGCGAGCCGAGACTGACTCATTCAACAAATATTTCAGCACCTGCCATGTTCCCAGGCCAGTGCTGGGCTCTGGGGACCTAAGACAGGCAAGACATCTGCCCTTTGCTGCCTAGCAGGGAGAGCGGATGCTGACCACGGAACGATGACGGTGCTTCTTATCATCCTATAGCAGAAGGGAAGGAGGGTAAGAATTCCCTGCGGAAGTGATGTTACAGCTGAGACCTGAGGGACAACCAGGAGGCGGGGAAAGCACATTCCAGGCAAAGGAAATGGAACATGCGAAAGATAAAAGTAGCCAGGTGCAGTGGCTCACACCTGTAACCCCAATACTTCAAGAGGCTGAGGTAGGCGATCACTTGAGGCCAAAACCAGCCTGGCCAACATGGTGAAACCCCATGTCTACCAAAAATACAAAAAGTAGCTGGGTGTGGTTGTGCACACCTGTAATCCCAGCCACTCAAGAGGCTGAGGCAGGAGAATCACTTGACCTCGGGAGGCAGAGGTTGCAGTAAGCCCAGATCATGCCACCACACTCCAGCCTGGGCAAAAGGTTGAGACCCTGCCCCCCCACCCCCCCACACACACACACACAGAGACAAAAGGAGAGGCATAATGTGTGCTTCACAGAAGACAGAAGGAGCTCAGGGCCAGGCAAGGTGGCTCGAATCTATAATCCCAACACTTTGACCTCAAGGATTACTTGAGCCCAGGAGTTCAAGACCAGCCTGAGACCATATCTCTACAAAAAATTTTAAACATTAGCCAGGCATGGCAGCATATACCTGTAGTGCTAGCTACTAGGGAGGCTGAAGTGGGAGGATCTCTTTAGCCCAGGAGGTAAAGGCTTCAGTGAGCCATGATCACACCACTGTACTCCAGCACTCCAGCCTGGGCAACAGAGCAAGATGCTGTCTCAAAAAAATAAAATAAAATAAAGGAAGCTCAGAGGGGCTGGAGGAGTCCTACAAGGACGTCACACCTCAAAAGGTGTGGGCCCACTGGAACTCTCAGCTCCGGAACTAGGCAGCCCAGAACTGGCCAAGCTGTTGCAATAGCTCCCCTTTATGAAGCATTTGCTGTAAGCCAGCTGAGTCTGGCATGCACAAATCTACTGACTAGGGGAATTGATGAAGGGTATTCTCTGCCATTGCCCTTGAGTAGATGAGGAAACTGAGGCTTGGGGAAGTAAAAAAAACCTGCACCAGACCACAAATTAAAAAAAAAAAAATTGGGTCAGGTGCAGTGGCTTATGCCTGTAATCCTTGAACTTTGGAAGGCCAAGGCAGGAGGACTGCACGAGCTCAGGGGTTTGAGACCAGCCTGGGCAACAGTGCGAAACCCTGTCTCCACAAAAAATTACAAACATTAGCTGGGTGTGGTGATGCACGCCTGCGGTCCCAGCTACTTGGGAGGCTGAGGCAGGAGGACTGCTTGAACCTGGAAGGATGAGGCTATCAGGAGCTGAGATCGTGCCAGGCTGGAGTAGCCTGGGGGACAAAGTGAGATCCTGTCTCAAAAAAAAAAAAAAAAAAAAAAAAAAAAAATTACATCAGGACTGGGCTTCCAAACTGGGCAGGGCTGAGACTCAGGCTCCTAGACTTCCATGCTCCTCACTCCACTGCCCCTGCAGCCTGACTTTCAACCATATGCGGCTTTTCTTCCCACTACTCCCCGAATTCTTCCGCGGTCAGTAGCTGTGGCTTCGCTTCCCACAGGAGTTAAAGGGCAGGGTTTGCCACAAGCTGGAGCTCACACATGGGTGCTCAAATGCATCCGTCTTCATTTAACTGCAGTGAATAAGCCGTCCACAGTTCCAGCGGGTAGCATGTTAAATTGTGTGTGTTTATTTGCATTTGCGGTGGTGAGGAAATTACACTCCCAATGGCAGGGCAGATTCAGGCCTGACAATGCACGATAGGCTTCCCCTTCCCCTGTGAGGAGGAAGCAGCCGGCCTCTTGCAGCACAGCCAGACATTGACCAAGAAAATTCGTTTGTTTCGTTGTCTACCTCCCACACACCACAATCCAGCCAGGAAGGCAGAGACGGCATCCAGGTTGCCTTCACAGCAGGCACTCAAATGAGCTAACAAATGAATGGGCGGTTAAGTTCCCTGGCTCTGGAGTTCAGCTTCCCTGGGTTCCGATTTCTCAGCTTGTGTGGCTCTCTGCTAAAACACTTCATCTCGGCCAGCCACAGTGGCTCATGCCTGTAATCCCAGCACTTTGGGAGGCTGAGGCGGGCAGACTACCTGAGGTCAGGAGTTTGAGACCAGCCTGACCAACACGGAGAAACCCCGTGTCTCTACTAAAATACAAAAATTAGCTGGCCGTGGTGGCGCGTGCCTGTAATCTCAGCTACTTGAGAGGCTGAGGCAGGAGAATTGCTTGAACCCAGGAGGTGGAGGTTGCAGTGAGCTGAGATCACACCACTGCACTGCAGCCTGGGCAACAGAGTGAGACTGTCTCAAAACAGAAAAACACTTCATCTCTCTGAGTTTATCTGTAAGAAGGCTGCAGAATGCCATGTGAAAAGTTGCTAAGTTCACTCACACAAGGGGTTCAGCACCGACTTGGGATATATTATGTACTCAAAACTTGGTAAGAGACAGAAAAACAAAACCTAGGAAGGTGAGATGTGGGAGAAAGGGAAGCGTCCACACCTTATGAGGATGGGGAAAAGAGGAGCGGGGAAGGACTAACTGCATGTTAAAGTGGTTTCTAAAACCAAACTGTGGCAATGTGCAGGTTCATGCCTATAATCCCAGTACTCTGGGAGGCTAAGGCGGGAGAATCATTTGAGATCGGGAGTTCAAGACCAGCCTAGGCAACATGGCGAAAACCCCGTCTCTGAAAATGTTAAAACTTAGCCAGGAAGGATGGGCGTGGTAGCTCATGCCTGTAATCCCGGAGCAACAGTACGAAACCCCATCTCCACAAAAAAAGAAAACAAGGCGGGCAGATCACCTGAGGTCAGATGATCAACATGGTGGTCAACATGGTGAAACCCCATCTCTACTGCAAATACAAAAAACAGCCAGGCATGGTGGTGGGCGCCTATAATCCCAGCTACTCGGGAGGCTGAGACAGGAGAATTGCTTGAACCCAAGAGGCAGAGGTTGCAGTGAGCCGAGATTGCGCCACTGCACTCCAGCCTGGTGACAAGAGGGAGACTCCATCTCAAAAAAAAAAATTAGCTAGGAATGGTGGCATGTATCTGTAGTGACAGATACTGGAGCTAGGGGAGCCTAAGGTGAGAGGGTGGCTTGAGCCCAGGCGGCCAAGGCTGCAGTGAGCCATGACTGTACCACTGGACTCCAGCCTGGGCAACAAAGTGATACGTTGTCTCAAAGAACAATAAAACCAAACTGTGGCCACAGCAGATACTGCAGGGAGGGAGACTGAGGCACAGGGGAGACGGCATGCCGATGGAAGAGGACCAAAGGTTGGTCTTCAGATGGGCACTAAGAGGGGAGGCCAGAGTCTGAGAACAAACCAGGGTGTCAGGGCAAGACTGTCAGCCTCTGGAGGCTGCCAAGCTACCTTTAGGGCACCCCGGTGTGCTCCACATATTGGAGCTGGACCTCAGCTGTACCCTCCTTGCTTCTTTCCTGGGCTGGTGGAGATGA